TTAGGAAGCACCAAATACATGTGGCGCACAGGCTGACGACTACACTTCGTAGATAAGAAGGAAGTCTTCTATAAGATACCATGCAACAGCTTCGATGCGGTTTACTGTGGTCAAACTGGGAAATCGGCCTCTACGCGAACACCGACTGGCCGTGAGAAGGCGAGAACGCTTGTTTCAATTTGCATGCATGCGTTGGAAACCGGAAACATATTCGCCTGGGACACGGTATCATTGTAGGTGACTGGTCATCTGAGGAGGACCGGAGATTTTTAGAGGTCACCTATTCTGATAACTCATGCATTAAATGACACGTAGAATTGGATGCTGTCTACAACAACCTCAGTGAAATATGGAGAAGGCATTGGACATTCAGAACATTAGGCCAGCTTTATTGACATGGCATAATCGATTTTTACGAATTTTTAAATGTAAACTCTTTTGCACACTTACTCGTGTTTGAGGATGACTTGGGTAACCGAAGTCGAAAATATACCATAAATTTGTTTATATTTCCCAACGAACTTATTTCTTTCGAAATATATATATCTCGGGGGTGAAAAATTATACCAACTTATCGCACTACTTTTAATGCGAATAGTGTAACCTACCAGGGGGTGGGGGTTGGCGCGTTCTCCCATTGCATGTCCCACATAAGTGCACTGAAACACGGCGGAACCTAGAGAGACACACAAATCCGCATCACGCTGTAAATTTTTTAGCCCCGTCACCGTAGAAAAACGTTAGTTAGGTGGACTTAAACACACCCTAGTTGCATTCCTCCGTTTTACTTTTGGCAGCCGGAATTTCTAATCCTCCCCGGAAGCGCGTAACATCAAGATCTAAGAGTAAGGCATGAAGCCTGAGTCAGGGTTGGGTTCGGGGCGCGGGATAACGTTAGTTTTAGGAATACGACGCTGTACTTAGATACTTCGGAAGCTAACGCCCTTACTAGCCAAGGTACATCTCGGGGTCAAGCTAAGGCGCAAAATGGCTTTGCTCGCGGCATATCCAGTCATCACTTGTTGCTATCCGCCATTTTATAGATACGAAGAATCTCCATGCGACATCGGCCCTAAGAATGCGCTAAATCGACGAGCTTGTGCGCATTCGCTGGGACGAAGTTCTAGGATATTCTACAGGGAACTCCATAATTTTAGTGTGCGTCCGTATGGGGGATCGATTCTAGGAGTTGCGCTACTCGCACAGCTCTTCACACCGCTAGCTACGAGATGTCACACTAGGCGTATTACAAGAGGCATATCTGTAATTCATCTAAGTATCAGCTGATGTCACTTATTGGGAAGTATTTGACTGGCTTTGCTCCGGGAAAAATGCTTCACGTCCTCGTTAGCCGCAGTCCATACGAAATGTGGTGACCTGATATGAGCATCGAATTTTTCAGTGCCTTTAGTTAGTCAGCTAAGCTAGCCTGTATGGCAAAATCTTTCGTACTTCTCGACGGACATTATGACCCACTGAAGTATGCAAATGCAGATGATTGCGTCTAAATCAGCTATGCCTGGCACACCTTGTTGCGGCACCAGCAATCCGGACTTCAACCGTATGCAGACAGTGGAGGTGTGAACACGGCTCGTAGATTCCAGGGAAAAACCAGGGCCTCGGGCTGTAACACTAGACAACTAAAGAGGCTGTACTTACAAATCTCTCTGTAAGAAAGACTGTGTACGTTAACTGTTGCCACCCACAACGCAAGCAGAAAAGGGGCCATGCGTAATATAGAAATGCATGTTGCACAAAGAGTCCTCAGCGATACAAAGATCTAAGTTAGGAAAGAAATAGATCGTGATCAAGAATAGAAGGACTGCAGAGTAGCAGAAGACCTTACTTCACGACAGCGTGAGGGAAAATGAGGCAGGGATGTTTTGAAAGCAGCGCGCGCTCAGGCGAAAGGTCAAAAAAGTAGGGAGAGAACGGGATAGCGGGAGCAAATTAAACAGCAATATGGACTGATTATTTCATATTACAATAAAGTAGTTCACGCACAGTACGAGTATGCAGGACAGAACGGACCACAGAACTCAGGCGGTGGACTAAGCATGACGAAGGGGATGAACTAGAAGTTGGGGGAAAGGGGGGGTGGCCGTGGCCATCCCCACCAATAGGTCTGTTACAAGGAGTAGTCTTAAAGAATCACCAAAGTCGGAGAAAACAAAATAAAACACAGGCGGCGTACACACGCACGCACATGCATAAAAGGTAGTAAGAGAACAAAGTGAAAAAAGTGCGAAAATAAAGCTAAAACGGGTCGGGGAGAGGGCACTAGGGCGGATACGACGAACACAGAGTTATTGCACGCGCGGGGCGACTTTAAGGAATTTCAGGAGGAGGGACTCAGGAGCGCTGAGAGCGGAGAAGGGGCTGAGTTGGAGTCCGCAGTCAGTGAGACTTGGGGTTCCGAGAAAGTGGGGGTGTTGTCACCGCCGCCGGCGGCAGCAGCGAAGGGATTACTCGGTGGATTAATGTCTTCTCCGCGCAAGCGCAGTCGTGCAAAGTCCTCAAAGATTAGGTCGTCATTGGAAAGATCCGCTGCGCAGGCCTTTTTCGGGCTAAAAAGGTAAGACGACAACATTGAAAACAAACAGAAAGGGCGGAGTGGGACTGGGAAATTTTATTTAACGCATAGTAAATTGTGAAATATTTTGGAAGTCGTACAAGCAGCTGATATTTGCGCCACAAAGCAATACCCTAATGCATGATGCCGTGAAAACGCCCTTATGGTCAGGCAAACCTCCAGTAGGCGTATCCCCAATTTTCAGTGCGAAAAAAAACAAAACTGAGAGGTCAGAAGCGGACGTTTCTATCCTCTTTAAAAATCCTATTTTGCAATGCTCCTCCTTATTGTTAAATCCTATATGTCCAACGCCTTCACAACGAAAACTGCTGTTGCGTAAACTTTCACGAGAAAGAGCGGGGTTCAGCTTGTGCAGTTCTCAAATTATGAAAGGATCTACGAAAAAGGTGGGATTTTAGACGGTCATGAGTGGGTATTTTGATGTGAAAAGGCACAATCAAGAAGCCTGGGGTAAAACGGTGGCTAAGAAGGCGATGGACAGAGACAGCAGTTGCTACGAACATCTCGTCCGCTGAGAGGCTGATGAAGTTTCGATTTAACGAATCCTCCGACTCCGAGTTTGGTTGCGGTAGAGATCCGTCCTGTGGGGAGTTCACTTCAGCACTGGCCGCGGTCGGTCGGGCAGATTCGTCCTCGTCAATTACTGGCTTCGGATGAGTCAGCGTGAAGGGGAGTTCGACGCAAACATCGCTGAAAGTGACGAGCAAGAAATGCCTCTAAGATAAGTATAGGATGAATATCTAAAGAGCTCTTGGGCAAATCATTATTCAAATGCAAGAAGACGTAACGTATGTCAAAAGGCAATGAGATGTGCTGACGACCATAACTAGCGGAGCACTGGCAACTTATGCGTGAACAGTCGTGGAAGCGAAGACTACCGGTGCACCAGCCTTGCATTTTTCCTAGGTTCTACAGTGCCCAAGTAACAAAGCCTAGTGATAGGACCGGAGTTGAGGTGTAGCGCTTTACAGCATTTATCGAAGAGGAGCATGAGAGTTCGTAGACCCTATTTCACGCATTTAAAAGAAAGAATGAAAATAATACCTGCTAGGGGAATTACAACTTGTCCCCAGCTTAAGTGGTCATAGGCGGGGGATGTCAGACTAACAAAACGCCCGAGTAGATTAGTCGAATGAATACTACCAGTGAAGTTGAGCATGCTCCCCAAAAAAACACATTCGAATATTCCTATAAAGTTGCCGAGTCACCTAGTAAGCTTATTTTAGGCCTGATTCAGAATAATCCGGACAAACAAGGAATTCTGCGACGCTTAAAGGTTGATAAATTCGCTGCGATAAAGTGAACATAGCATTCGAAATGCACTTACCTGACACCGAACCCAAGAACTAGGCGAACTCTTACACGGTACTGAACAATCATGCCGAGATTTTCCTTCTGAGTGGGATCGCTGACGCTGGAGAAGGAAGTAACATAGTCAAAAATTAGAAATCAAAGCTTCATACAGACAGTAAAAGTACAATAAGTCGCAGATAATTTTGCAAAAAATCAAAGAACGTGATAGAGTGACATGGCAAATATTCAGGTAGAGAAACGGATGCAGTAAGGGCAAAGTATGCATCACCGGATTCCCGCAATATACGTATTCAAGGCGTGCAGTATGTCGGTTTTTGTATCATCTGTTGTATGATAGAGAAACGGTCAAGGTCAACTATCTAACAAACCTGCTAGTTGAGCTAGTGTGTACTGGTTATTATTGCAAAGCTGAAAGCATTACGCAAAAATCCAACCTTACTTTGAGTGAAATGACTTCCTTTAACACTCCCCTAGATGAGATAGCAGTCCTCGGAAACGGATCGGTTAGTTCTGGTCTTTTGGATTTTCGAGTCATAAAATGTCGCCAATTTCAGTTGAGACTGGTTCATTCATCTAAATTTCCCTTAATTAGACCAAAGGGTCTCAGTTGGCATAGCTGGTCTGTTTGCGGAGTGCGAAAAATACTGATTAAATTACGTAGTTTAGTAAGAAAGGACGGCAGGATTCCCAAGCCAAGTACCGATCTACTCACATGAAAGACAGTCAGTGAAATGGCTCGAATAGGACGTCATAATGAACGCAAGTTGAAAACTGCGGAGTATGCGTATAAGTCTTATTTAACTGACCTGAATACAATTAATAACACATTAGTTGCCGAGTTAAGCGGCCAACGTTTCAGAGCCTAACGCCACACAGCCCCTATCATAGGGACCAATCAAACAGCATTCCTTGAAAAAATGCCGCATGATATCAAGATGGCAAGCTGTTCGGTTAAGGCAAGCTGGTCCAGGTCTCGCAAATGGGCAATATAGTTTGGCCTGTGTGGAACAAAGATGTAAACAGCAACGATAAGGCGCTTTTGGCCGCGAGCCCCTATGCGCCTACACAAAATCCGAAAGGAGGTCAAGAAGCATGTTATGGGGAAAGGTGGATAAGGGTAGAAAGGCTTAAGTTAAGCAAAAACAGAAAATTGTTCTGACAGCGGCGCCCCGGTCAGGATGCAAAACGGCCTTCTGGGCATCGCAGTAACAGTGAGCTGTTTAGCGACCGTATTCCCACAACAACGTGAGCTCTGTGCGGCAGGCCATCAAAGGATGCAAGTTTTTGTGAATTCTACCCATGGCCACGAGTGGGGTAAATGGTGAGGCTAGGAGAATTTTGTGGGAGTTGGGTAGTCAGACTGTCGAGTCTTCGGCATGACAAATGTCATCCACGTAATGCTGCCATATTTTGCGTGGCTGTGGGATGCATAAACTAAATGTCTGTTCAAACCGCCGTGCGAAAAGGTTCGTCTTAAGATACGAAAGGAGGGCCCATTTCAATTCCCTATTCCATTCATAGGTGTGGGAAAGCCAAATTTTTTTTCGCGTATGCGGATTGCGAATGTGTCAAGATAAATGAGGGCTTTTGCATGCAAAACGAGGAGTAACTTTTGAATTGTTCAGACGCAAATCCCACAATCCTCAGCGACATATTCTGCCAACCCAGCTCGCTATCGCGGACAGACGAAATGGAATGGTCAGAAAGAGCAGACAAATACAAAAAAAAAACAAGTGAAAAAGTTCTAAAAAATACTGTCAGTTAGAGTTTCGCTATGAGGATGACCCCTGTCCTTCCGAATCTACAGGGTCACTGCCTACGGTTCTAGCAGAATAAGAGTATTGCACTCACATTAACGGTGTGGGGGCGTTGCACAGATTAACATACGTTGCAGTATTCTCACATCATACGAGGGGAATTTAAGGAAAAGTATTTGGGCAGGACTGTCACAGCCTAGACTATCGAAATTAAAAGGAATACCGACCAAAGACAAGATTTCTAGATTGCTACCCGTCATCAGCCAGCCGTGCGCAGTCCTTATCTGAAACACTTGCGATTCAAACGTGAGATCCTTGGTTATCGGGTCGGAAGCTTTATCATTGAGCCACGGACCCCATGGTCTGTCTGTGCGATCGCAAACACCAACTACGTTGGCAACGGAACTACGGTATTTGAGCGTTCCACTGCGCTTGAGGCTCGATTTGGAGTCTACAAAGGCAGTCGCATGGCGACCATGAATAGATGTAGATTGGAATGGACATTTCTGGCTTAGTAATCGTCGTCAGCCAGTCATACCCAACCCAAGTGACTGTCCTTGTGGGTGCTAGATTGCGCCTCAAAGCAAAACGGGACGACTATGTCCCGGTCACCCCATTGGTGAACGCAATCCCAACATACTCTCCAACTATCGTGTTACCAAGGAAGACAATAAAGCGATAAGAGGACGAAAGAATGCTTTTTAGACTACGAAGAACCCACCGCCCATCCTAACTCCCCCAAAAACATGACGTTTGCCTTAAGCAATTAGGCGATCCTGAATGGGAAAGGCAAGGAGGAGGAGGAGGAGGAGGAGGAGGAGGAGAGGGCAAGGGGCATTGAGACAGAGAAGAGGGCAAATGGGACGCACATCGTGGAGGAGGCCAGATTGGTGTCTTCATTCTTGAGTTTTCCATCCAGAGCGAGGCCACGTTTCTCCCGATTGTTTGAGAGGAGTGGGCACATATGGTACACTTTGCACCAACCAGTTTGGCTCGGCAGAATTGGCAGGCCCTCGCTGGTAATGAGAAGAAAGGTGTGCAACAGACAGCAGTTAGGATGAACCGCTGTGAGTAATTGTTTCATGGGATTGGAAAATCGTGACTGAATCTGGGGAAGAAGGGAATATCTATTCACAAATGGCATCGATATGTGGTGTTCATCTGTGCTCCAGCTGAGCTAACAGTAATAACAAAAGCGGATCAATGAGAAGAAAATGGGACGAGATTTTGGAATTAAAATTAGTTTGAGAGAAATCTTTACAAGGTGTAAAGTTCTCCATAATTTACTCACGTGTACTCCAAACAGGGCTGTCCATGCTAACAATTTTCTTTCCAGTAAGAAGCTAAACAGCACATTACTCAAAAATCCTACAGCGGACAGCAAAGGGAACGGACTGGCAGAGAGTACCATTCACTGCTGCAATGGAACAGGCCGTCTGCATCACCGAACGAAAGCGCTCACTGTGGAAACGGCTAACTGGGGGTAGGCGGCTGTGAGGTTAAAAAGTACTTTCACATACTGGTGCTCGTCCTCGTAACACGGACCGAGAACACAATATTCCCATCCCGCTGGACTTCAGATTGGGCAGAATGAAACAGACGGACGCCAATACTGTGAGGAGAGGCGCCGAGTCGACAGAGGATACGTAGTGACTCAACAAACCTACTTGAACGTCAGTTATGAGATGGACAAAAAAAGAACAAAAACACGAACTTTGCGTGGCAAGAGTAAACTGAGGACACGAAGTTTGAAGGCAAGCATTCATTGAACATCGGTTGCACTCGTGTAAACTTTCGAAATCAGATCAGTTCTGAATTTTAAACCTCCGATTTTTAATGAGGTTGTACTTTAGTAGGCGCAGCCGAGGCGCTGCTAAGTGGAAAATAAATGATTCTAGTCACGTGGTAAGGGAAATCGGGGCACCGTGTGCTCCACAGCAGGGTGAGAGCATGGATGGTGACTTGCGCATGAGTTAGTTTATAGCGATAGTAGACTTAAACCGCATTTGCAGCATTCTCCCCTCCTCTCCCACCTGGGCCCAGTGTCATGACAGAGTCAAGAAGACCGGAGGGGGGAGAGGACGTAAGTGGCTGGAACGGCGAAAACCCACACCTAGGTGTACTACCACATCCCCGGATCCGCAACCTACACTAAGCAAGATCTTACACCAAAAAGGGGACAGCTCAGATCTCAATTGGCGCGGCGTGCGCCTGCAATCAGGCCTTCCGACACACCCTGAATGCAGACATTTGTCGTGGGTGAACATTCTCGATAACGCCTGCCGGATTCCCATCTAGCCCCTGTGTTTGTCCAAGTCACATGATGAGCAGCTATTTATTTAACTGACTGTGCAGATGTTTGTTCACCTGCCAAGGGAATGTTTGACTATTCGCAGGTTACATCTGAGAAAAATATTGATTGCTGTTTGAACGCCCACGATTTATTCGCATGTAGGAATGCCTGTAGAAAACACCTGCTTCGAAGGGCAGGCAGGGAAAGGTGGACACAGGACTGTGTTAATGAGTGCGCGAGTACGTACGCATAAGGAGTAATAAACGGCGGAGACGGTGAGCAGCCGAAACACGTGGGGATGGGGGATAGTGAGGTAGACAGACTGTGGAAGGGAAGTGAAGGACTCAGCCGCCAGATATTAGGATACATAACTGAAAAATTACGAGCCCATATAACTGTCCTGTCCTCGCCGAGGGTCTGGCGACCGTGGACAAATGTGTGTAGCAATAAAATAGCCTTGGCGACAAGAGGGGGGTCATAGTTAGCAAGAATGATTTTCCAAATTTAGAGCAAAGGGCTAAGCATGTCTGGCCGACGTAATGGTTACATTGGAATTACAACACCTACGCGGCAGTGAGACATATGGATAGATTGCATGTTTTGCGTAAATCTCGGGCAGATAGCAGCGAAATGGCGTGGGGGCAAGGAGGAATCAAACCCCGTCTGTCATAAAAAGCACTGACTCCAAAGATTGTTCTCTCACATTAAATGGGACAAAACCACATGTGCTCCACAGATATAAGCAAAATCAGGTATCGTATGGAAGCGGCGTCTGTCAAGTTGTCTCGACCGTTCTCACACGACACCCTCTGATCGGAAACTCCGAGCAAGGATAAACTGCGATAGACCATTGACTGAAGGAGGGAAATAAGTAAGAAAACAGTAGAACGTCCCGAGCGTTTCCATCTCCAACACCCTGATATACATATCTTGAGAAGATGGGATGGACAAAACGTCCCATTGATTTGACGTTACTTCAGGACAGAATACGGTCGTTCAGTTTTTGCCCCGGCGAAAACATAGTGAGAAATCAATGGTCGAGATTAGAATGGCTATCGTCGACTTATTTGCCGTCGTCAACCTTCCCGGACTTCCTGTACAGCCGGCGCTGGTCACTCCAGTAGCGGCCTGTTTTTTACAGTTCTGGCTAGGAAACATCAGTCGGGCAAAGTAAAAAAGTACTTAGACTGTGAATAGCTCTGGGAGCTCTGTGGCTCTGTGCTGGACAGAGGAAAAAGGTCCGTTTAGCATAAAGTGCACAGCATACTAGGGATAAAAGAAAAAGGTTCTCTGGATTGTGGAAAGTGACAGCCGTTCAAATCAAGTTAACTGTTCGAGTGAGGAAAACACTAAATTGTCGTTGAGTTGTGCATAATGGCGGGGGCGGCATTGCCCTCTGGTGGACAAAAGTGCTCGTGCAGCTTTCATTGGAGTTCTATGTAACGCCTTCTTTTGTCTTATTGTTCGTATACCCGTTCGTATCATAAAGCACCTGATATGCGTCAGTTAACTGAGGCACATTGTCATGGTAGCAGCCCCTAGCTTGGGATTTTATTTCTTTCTTAAAATGTCCATTAAGCCTAATGAAATTTAACTACAGTTGCCTCAATAATTTAACATTGGGTCACGGGCTGTGGAAGGGGGAGGATGTGCTTAAAGATGTAGCTGCACAAAAGCGGCTTAGGATATTTTTCTTGTGGCGAGAAAGGTCTCGAAGACGCACCAAACACAAGAAGAATTCTCAGTTATTGAAGAACAAAAGAGTCACGAGACACCGGTGAAATAACTCAAAATTAAGCAGTCAAGCAGCCTCCAAAATGTGTAAAATGGGTGATAAAACAAGACTTTTATACTTCTATCAAGTGAGAAAACCACGGAGGTTAGGCACAGCAGCCCCACAAACATTACCATAGAAAGAGATACATGAAAGACCGAAAATCTATTATGCTCTTCAAACGCATAATTGTAAAATAGATTGTTTGCATGTGATGAAATATTGGTCCTCTGACAGTTGTGCCAACGATGTCAACTGTGTGCTCCACAGCAAGCTGAGGCAGACACGGTGACTTGCGCGTGAATTAGTCTGCCGTGAATGTAGAACTTGCGCTGCGTCTAATACTCTCTATCCTCCTTGCCCACCCGGATCCGGTGTTGAGACACAGTCGACAAGACCTGAGGGGAGGAAGTGCGCAGGTGGTTGGCACGGCCAGACCTGCACCTAGGTGTACCACTACACCCCCTGGTCCACAACAAACACTTGACCAGAATTTTAACCAACAAGAAAAACAGATGACACAAGTGCCTGGACAACCATGCACACGGCCTGTATACCCAGGGGGTGGTCGTCGTCGCGAGGTTTGTGGTAGGGACGATTGGGGGAGAGGTTGACGTTGCTAGGTTTTTGGTACAGTGCGTCCGAAGGTGCCCTACAAGGTCGATTCGTGCGCTAGCAGCGGGGGGCGTATTGGAAGCAGCGGATAATTGGCACTGAGTAGTCGAGGTATTTGTGACTTGCGAGCCTTCCGTTTGGCTTTGGCGGTGGCGGTCCGATTTGCTTCGTAGATGACAGCGCCGGTCTTCACTTCTTTTCTCCAGACCAGTCTGTTCTAGGCGGGGTTCACCGAGTTGATCTGCAATCTATTCAGAGATTTCTTCAAAGTGTCCTTGTAGCGACGTCTTGGTCCTCCTTGTCGACGTGTACCCGTTGCGACATTTGCATAGAAGAGCTGTTTCGGTAGACGCGTATCTTCCATCCTCACGAGACGGTGTGAATACAGAGGATTCCGGCTTCCGTGTCGGGGATCCTGTCTGCTCATCTCGGCTATAGTATTCTGCGAAGGCGGCAGAGATGGAAGTGGCTGAACTTCCTGGCATGACCTGCGTAGACGGCCCAAGTCTCCGCTCCATATAGGAGTGTCGCCATGACGACGGTTTTTTACATCTGCAGTTTGATGTTTAGTTGAAGGCCGTGGCGGTTGCACACGGAGGCTTGAAGCCGGCAGAGGGCCTGGCTGCGTTTGAGGAGCCAACGGGCAACCTCATTGTCAATGTTTGCGTTGCGTGAGAGTTTGCTTCTTCGATAGGCGAAGTTATCCACGTTTTGGAGTGGATTGCCGTCGACAGTGATCCAAAAAGTGTTGTATTCAGCGTTCGGTGACGGTTAATGCATGATCACTCCAGAAGATTACTATTTGTACAGTGCCGAATGATGCCGCTAAGGCCGATTACGTGCCTCTCGACGAAGACCATACAATTACGACTTAGATTTACTCTATGCAACTGCAACGTGAATGAGTCGCGTTAGCTTGAAAGCAGTCCGGAATACTTAGTCCAAAACAGGTGCTATTCATGCCGAATAATGTGAGACCTCACGCTGCAAAACTCTTCTGTGAAGAAAACTGTAAGTCAGGATGAAAAATTCTACCCCATCCCGCTACTCATATCGCCCGACATTTTTCCAGCCGACCATCGTCATTTCTTGGCACGAGATAATAACAAGCGAAATAGGCAACTGCGCCTGGGAAGATGCGTCACAACTCATTCGCCAGGACCACACACGCCACACCTTCAAGGTGGAAGAGGCCGAAATTCTGGTGCAAAATGACAATCGCGTGAGCCACAAGCTGGTTACATCATTGTTTTTTGACCCACAGTCCGGCAACAAGCACAGTAACGTGCATCCTCCACCCCCCCCCCCACGCTCAGTCCTCAAACCTTGGCTGCACAGAGTAATTAGCCAAGGGGGAGGACATTCCTTCGAGTGTCAATGGCGGTGAGCCAAATTACAACTCAGATATCATATCAATAAGTAAAAAAATGATGAACCAAGGGTAATGAGCGACTAGGATTCGGGAAAGCAGGCATTTATTGCACCAAGTGCAACCATCTGCGACGAATGCGGGAGCCACAAACTTTTATAGGCATGCACCCTATGAATATTGCAAACCCTGTGAGCTCGCAACCGCTGTAACTAACTCCGATGGTGGGTTCTGACGTGAATGGGAAATTAGAATCATTCTGGCAATGGATTCTCCTTAACTGATGCCTGGAACTTGCATTTTCACTTATTTCGGTTATGCTGAATTGCCAGAAAACTAAACCGGTGAAAATTTCCTGATATCATCAAAGGGAACGGGTCCTTCGGGAAGATAGAGCAGGAAAAAGGGAAAGAACGAGAGAGAGAGAGAGAGAGAGAGAGAGAGAGAGAGAGAGAGAGAGAGAGAGAGAGAGAGAGAGAGAGAGGAGAAGCGGACGTGCAGGCTAAAAACTTAACAAATAAAGATAGGACCGGGTTGGTGGCCCCCACACCCCACCAACCGACCCCATCTGGAAGCAATAATCTCCACAACAGACAATGCGATCGTGAACAAAGTCAAAAAGGGATGTAAGGAACTTACTCATATTCTGCTTCGTCAACGGTGCACTTGTACACGGCCCGACTGAAGAGCATAATGTCCGCAACTTGCATAACTGGTAGGAGTAAAGTAACAGAACGTAAGAATAGGTTGTTGATGTTAATACCAAAAAAACTATCACGAGAAAAATCGACATGGATGACAAAGGGAAAAACCTAGTCCCATCCAAAGCAATATTAATGTTAAGAAAGTAACAACAGAAAATGATCTTGTCGTGCGCAAGGTCGCCATTTTAGGCAAGAAATCGAATGCGAATCCTCGAAGAAACCGAAAGCAGGCTAAGGACTTTATAAGACAACCTGTTCCACGGACCGATTTAATAGTCATGCTGAACAACCGACTTTGAGTAACTTATACCACGAAAAGACAGCTGAGGCGCCGTTGAATAACGCAGAGCAAGGTGAAAAGCAACATTTGGATGCGTCGGTTGTTTGAAACATGGCATCTGCGGTAGACACAAGACGGAGACAGTCCAGATCGTGCCCTCTCCCAGTCATCTACCTGCTCAGACACACATAACCTGCTGCAAAATAGCGTGGAGTGAAAAGTATCACACAGGGTAAGCTAGCTGCCTAATGTGACAGCTTTGGTGTCCAGTAACGAGCCGTTGTGGAAGTAATATATCGCTCATCTATATCGTGTCAAAATCGGCAGGCCGTTGCAATTGTTAGTAGACCCGCCCCAACCCGTTACGAGAACGCTGACTTCCAGAAAGCTGGATAGTGAACCTGGGACCTCGTTTCCGCCAATACGGCCTTCTTGACAGGTGAAATACTGATTAGGTTTTCATCCTCAAAGACTGTGTGGTGCCCACCGTAGCAGTTTCACGTGGATCGGTGGTAGTGGGTGATAGAAGGGCATCTGATCTCCTAATCAGCTTTCCTACGGCTCCTTCTCGATAGTGAGAGCCAATTTCAGCAATTTCCATAGGTTTCGTACCTGGTGAAATGTTGGCGTAAATTTCGAAATGCGTTTTCGTCTATAAAGCATCACTCAGGTAGTATAATACCTAGATATTTCGGTCACGCCAAGAGGCCGGCTTTTGAATGCGCACCTTTCCGGTCGCCTGCAAAAAGCATATATGGCAGAAAATGTTTACTCAAATAGTATGAATACTCCATTAAGCTTGGATAACATTGCAAATCCAAATATGTCTCGTAGAAAAAACCCACAAAAATATCCTTTCTTGCATTCGACTGGTAGTATATTACGCCATCTACAGTTTTATACTCAGAAGAAAGTATCCCCGGTCTCAAGTTTTCAATTCCCGGATAATTGGAACCCGACCTTGTCGCTGAACTTATGCTTCCAAACTATACGCTGAAAACTTTCAATTTAAGAAAACTCGTGCACTATTCTCTGTTATAAATAAATTCCGCTGCGCTATCGTATAAAAACCTGGTCGGAGTACGATATAGAAGAGGAGGGGTAGGGGTACGCCAAGGTGAGCGTCCTTGCCATGCAGACCGCGTGCGCCCTGGCCCGCCTCTGGTTTTCCTGACTCTTTCTTGACACCGGTTCTAGGTGGGGGAGGGGAAGAGGATGCGGTAGATGCGGCACAAATCTACCATCACAATAAAAGAAGCCATGCGTAAGTTATCATCCCTACTCTCACTCTGATGTAAAGCACACGGAGGACATCGTCGGTCACGACGGTGGAACTATCATGTCAAGAGGACACCAGAGACAGTTAAAAAATTTTGCAACTGACGTGGACACTGTTGAGAATTTCGCGACGAGTATTAATGAACAGAGCAGTACGATTATAATGGTAGGGGGCGCTCACCGATCGTTTCTACGAGCGTGACTGGCTGACGACGGCTAATAAGCCAGAAATGGCCATCCCAGTCTCCCTTGTCTTTGTCGGTAATAACATGGCACGATTATATTTGAATCGATAGTTAATGGTCTTAAAAATCTCATCATCGCAAGTTACGGTGAGAGTGAAAACCACTTCTTCTTTGAATTTAAAATTTACTGAGGACGTAAAGAACTACACAATGGATACGAGAGGGAATATTTTTTGCGTGCTTCCTATAATATATATTTATGTTTGTAAGGGCATCGAAAATCAATGAGAGAATACATGCTACATGCTCCTACGTGGTTTTTGCAGGCAGACAGAAAGGTCGATAGAAACGAACTGGCAAGTTCCAGAAAGCAGTTCAGAAGAGGAAGAAGAAATGCGACCACTGAAACAGGGAGCTTATTGGACTGGCTTTTCGGATTCTCATTCGAACCCATCATCAGTGACTGTCTCTGACGATGGGTTCGAGCGAGAATTTGAAACGTCAGGCCAACAAACTCCTTCATGACAGAAAGGCACATGCGAAGACCGGCATTCTTAAAACTGTGCTGGATTATAATCAATATTACACTCCCACCAAGTAATCCTTCGTAATCCGAAACATATTTCGGAACTGCGTTTAACATTTCACAATATACACCACTTGGTGTGGCCTTTATTACGCATGCTATAAGCAACCACGGCAGATAAGCAGCAAAACCCACTGCCGTTAATATACAGTTGATGTATTAATTCATGAAATGTTAACCGAACTTCTGAAATGCGTTTTGCACTGAAAAAGACTACTTACGTACAGTTGTAATATTAATAACCGTGCAGCATAAATCCCATGAGTTACTTCAGGATTCTGGCTTTCGAGACAACTTCCCTTTTGGCCGCCTGCAGGAATGAGACTGAGCAAAAATGGTTACGTAAGTAGTACACAACTTTTTCATTGATTTTCGATGCCCATATAAGTTGAAATAGAAAACATGCATAAAATATTCACCCTTTTAGTCACTTGGTAGATAATTAAGTCTTCTCCGAATTTCATACTTGAGAGAAGGATATAATTCAATTTTAAAAGACTATTTTGATTCGTGAATAATTTTGAACCCGACTTGCCTTTACGCATACATGCAGAGTTTCCAAACTACAAGCAGTATATTTTCTGTGTACGGGTAATCACACATTTCTCTGAGTTGTTAAGCGGAGACCGTATAGGGACTCGTAAAATTTATCCATGGATTTGAGCATATTGCAAACTTTACAAGCAGCACCAGTAAATGCAGAGACACGAAGTTTTATGAGTCAGCATATCACGGTCTTAGAAAACCGTATAATCAGAAACTGCATTAAAACCGAACTACATTCTCCCTTCAAACACAAAATTTGAAGATGTAAGTTTCTACCAAGTGAGTAAAAGAGTGCATATTTTTATGCATGTTTTCCATGAAATTTACTTAAAATTTATAAGGGCACCGAAAATCTACGAGAAACTTCCCTGCTAGTTAAGCAGCCATTTTTGTTCAGTCTAATTTCTGAAGGCGGCCGAAAAGAAGTTTGTTTGAAAGCCAGCATCCTGAAGTAACTGAATTATCATGGGATTTACGCTACATGGTTATTAATATTACAACCCAATTTACGTAGTCTTTTTGAATGGAAAACGCGTTTCAGAATTCCGGCTAACATTTCATGAGTTAACACGTGCGTTCAACTAAAATATTTATACATTTTTCCCAACTTCAGGGGCCAGATAGAGGCTGCATTTAAGACCACAGGTCTCCCTGAGGGCGAAAATCCCAACGTCGGCTGCTAAAGGAGCTATTGTGCGACATCAATAGATATAAGTTGGTACGATAAGAAAGAACCAAGGGGATGAAAAATCAGAATATTAGCCAGGAAAGAAGTCGTAAAAGAAAACGCTGCCAATTCCGGAATGCTCAACTGAAACACGGAGTGAAAACGACACGGACGAACGCATTCAAACAGCTATGCCGCAAGAGAAAACCCAAAAGCGGTCAAGCAAGGCTAGCGCACTATATTGTCCCGTGAGACTGAATCTGAGAAACAAGATGTGGCGGACAACAATCTCAAAAGCCGAATTCGTTTGCGCGTTAGATGCTGCCGATGCACGCTGTTATTAGCTGCGACCGTGAAACTGCCACAGAAGATACTGCACGGACATTACGAAAATCGAGAATTATAACGACAGCTCGATTGACGCGCAGAACGACGTCCATCGTGTCCTCTACGAAGTGGAAACAGGGAGGGGGGGGGTAAGTTGCGTCTGAATTATTATATCGAGGCTGACTTGCACAGAATCTACTGCCCTCGCCCATCACCCGCCGGGCTTAGGTGACAAGGCAATGTCAAAACGATCAGAGGATGACTCGGGCACAGTGCCTGGCAAAGTCGAACAACCCGCTGCACGTGACACACAACGCCTTGTCACTACTATATATAACGTGCTGACAGAAGGAGGATTCGCACCTTGCACCAGTGAGAATCCCATAAAGGCCGCATGAAGAAGCCCTCCAAGTCTCAAAAGGACCGTCAGTTAGCAATCTTCCGTGACGGCATTGATAGCGCGTCGTTATAAATCCAAGCGCGTTGGATTTGTTATTGTTAGAAGTACACTGAAGTGCAGTTAACAGGAATTCAGCAGTGTCGGCCTCTCTCTCCCATGCACTGGTCTACTGTTCTAGTCTGCAGAACAACTGATAATGGAATTGGATACAGTGGCTGCCGAGGCTGAATAGCCCGTAACGCGTGACGTACTCATGAATCAGCCCACACGGGGTGACATGCTCCCCACTTAGGTAAGGTGTGTGTTACTGTATTCGACGTCTCACGCGCTGCAACGGGGATCGAAATGCCATTCGCAAACCAGATTGGTGAACAACATCCCAATACTAGCTTAGATTTACCAGAAGCCTGTGCATTCTGACGAAGCCTCTTATTTACGAGCTGGCTAATTAGGAGGAACAAAGTACGTGGTCCTGTTCTTAACAAACTTTCCGGACGTTCTAGTGTAATTGGAAGGGGTTGATTGTCTGGGACAGAGGTCAGCTTTACCTACAAGCCTGGCAGAGAGGTTTGCCCTTCATTAGCCGCATAAAGGCCAGAGGTGAATTGGGACAGTGTCCTGGTGATTACTCTCCATGCCTGTCGTACGATGCTGGCGATGAGTCATGAGTGAGGAAAGTGGGAACAGTGAAGATGAACAAATGTGATTAAACTCGCGTCGTCCGGCGGGGCCTCGTAGCTCAGGTGGTTAGAGCGTTGGCTGCGCTAAAGCCTTCGCCTTACTGCGTGGGTTCGAATCCCACCGAGGCGCCAAGTTTTTCACAGTTGGGTCAATATGAATATGAATAGGAAATTAGTTATGGGCATTAGTGACCGCTGCAAAATGCCCTGACCGTCAACGGTGCATGCCAACGTGCCTGCGAGCAATTATTTCCCTAGGCAGGTAGGCGGCTTCGCGAAGATTTGCACAAGCCAAGGTCACGTTATTGATTTCCAAAGTCATATACTCGCTAAAGGACTTGCCTTTCTCGCGTATCTCGACATACATTAGGAACATAGGATGCGTCACAGTGGGTTATCATAAAAGTAGATGAGCAACATGACACAAACCATAGTTCGGGTACCCTTCGAACGAACAAGTCTGCGGCGTTCGCACGCCAAGTCCGCTTCAAACGGATATTGAATTGCCATGCATACATTCAGTAAAATCTCAAAAGGTTCATCTGACTTTAAATGTAGGAAGCAAGCAGTGAACGTCCTCGTTTACTACAGACATGAGACACTATGCAAACAAATAAAAATGGGTATCCAGCGCGCATCAACGATTAGTCGGACTCTCAGCGGGTGGTGAAAAACAGAGACAAGCACACCCGTGCGATCGTGACAAACGGCAGAACATGAGCCTGGGTCTAGCAGTTGCGTTATCTAACGCCTGATCTATCCTTTGCGAGTTGTAGATGTAGTGGAAAAAGGTTTTGTGAGTTATGCCAGCTACATTTGTTAGGTAGTCAACCGTCGACGACGGAGTAACTGGACGCGTGCGGACTTGATACGTGCGCGCAGAGGCGCAAACACCACGGCCGATTTGTGTTGAGAGAGCTTGGTTCACACACGCTGCTCCCATTTATCAGTTTCATCACCATGCCGACTGGAGCAAGGACTTCCTTCCAAAAGATCATGGATAACCACAACATGAAAGTCCATAGAGATGACATAGCGAATCGGATCTCCAGAGTAGGCTAGGGCTTCGGAAAGCTGCAAAACCGAATCTAGAATCGTCACGCCAGCAAGCTTTGTACACTGTCTCGGGAACTGCGGCAGCGATATTCGAGGCCACTTGAATAGCGGAGAAACGCAGGACACGAATGTCTCGGGCAAATGTGGTGAACATCCAAAGCCTGCCAACATGCTTACAAAGTCAAATGATATTTGGGGTACGAATTGGCTTCATTCGGAACCTTTGGCTGTACCGCAATGCTAACACGACCAGACTACCTCCTACAACATAAAACACTACCAGTTTCACAGTCATTTAAAACGCAGTGAGACCGGAGAGCCGGTACCTAGAGCCCCAACCAACAACCGCCAGGCCTGCTCTACTTACCCATACTACACAGGAAGACTCAGCTATTTCAAGAGATTATTCAGTCAAACGTGCATACATGAAAGGCGCAGTAAGGTGTCACCGTTTGGATACTATTATATCGCTTTTATCTGCAAGCACGCATGAGTGCAGTACTGCTACGCATGAGCCCCATTGGCCTTATGAGAGTAAACGTCAGATATCATAATGGGACGCAATTTCCCAACGTCGTTAAGACTACTAAAATTTGGTCGCGAGAACGTGCACATCTGACTTATGCGTCCTCATGGAGTGCTGTCATTCGCAGGAGGGGACCATTACGTATGCGGCAGGGAGTTGGATAGAGGATTTCACGCACCGTCAGCGACTACGTCCAATCTCATCACCAGAGAGATGACAGACTCGATCAGGTCTACGATGCGTGGGAGCGGGTGAGAGTGAGCTCGACGTGCCATCTATGGTATTTCCATTTATGTGAGATACGGGGTTTTTTGAATAGGATATGGAGCATGTTGACTTTGTGTGCTAAACGCGCAGACGGGATTTTTGGCTTTGTCGACCACTATGCAGGCGTCCACCGCTGGCACCCCGACTGTGTCATATCATCTGAAGACGGTGGGTGCGCGAAGGGAAAAGCAAATGCGGCGACAGTCCGCTTTACTTTAAGAAAATTAACCCACAAGTTAGTGGAGGCCAATCCTGCGGACCAGTGTTGAAGGTCGTCAGGGGTGATCAAAATGTCATTTGTGTGAGAGAGTCAGAGGGAACGTGAGAGACGAAAACTCTACTTATTTAAGTACTGGATGCTCAGCCTACCTGTCTCGGCAGCTATGATACGAAGGTAAGGCAGTTATTTTGAGCAAAAACTTACCACACAATTTTATTTACAGCAGCCGTTAAAAGTTCATTGGCATTAAGGAGGAACGCTGGTTAAAGTACCTTGAAGCGCACAATGTATCATAATACTTTGTAAGCAGCCAAAGATGTGAAACTCGGAGAAGAACGACATTCGGAGAATCAGGAGTAAATTGTATAAACAACTGGCTCGTGGCGAAATCCAAACTCCAAAATGCGGAGCGCCGTGCTGTTTGGTTTGGCCAAAACACTAGTCACGTCGGCTTACGGCATGCGTTAGTCGGACTGCGTTCAGTCCGCGCACTTCCTTAATTACTGGCGTACATAAGCGTGGCACGCTTTACGTGAACACCTTATACCATATCGGCCACTGCGACAAATCTCTTCACCGGTAAATTGACAGGCTCGAACAAGTCACTGGCAAATCAGTGCGAGGACTGGTGGCATAGCAAGGCATCCTTCATTATAATAAGTAGGATGCGTTACGACAGGTCAGAAATCACAGCCTGGTTGACGAGATATTTTAATTCTCCGTTAGAGTGAACGACAGCATGTAAAAGCCCCTCCTCGCCAGGGGGCTTGCGACATTCCCACGAATGGGAACTTAGAAACCACTCATTCAAGCCGAGTGCGTGTCGACTTAGGGACCAGGTCAAGTGTAGCACGTGCAGACACGTTGTTTGATTCTTTGGCCACCGAACCTACACCCATCTCCGGCTGTCTTGCCTTGCCGCTAGAACACAGCGTGTGTAAACAGCGTGGTAATCGACTTCGCTGTGAACAAGTTAACATACAAGTCACCGTGACGCTCTCTGTGGTCGCACGGTGGTGGAACACATCACTTGTGATGGTGGAAATGGCTGCACAAATCCAGGCCGGCCATGGCAATTCGTTGTCTCTCCACTTGCACCCCTAGCTCTGACCATGCAGGAATGAGTTCTGATTCATTGCCTTTGACTTAGACTAAAGGTTTCGCGGCAGGTAGAATTGGATAAGTTTTTTTTAAATTTTTTTTCGTGCAAACGGGAGAGATTTGTGAGTGACATTTATATGCTAATTTAAACTGTCCAATAGCTACCGACGGAAACTGGGACCGTAGATCAAGTGGAAGGGCGTCTGGCTTAAGTCTTTGCTGAAATGAGTGGTTGTTGAAGATAAACGTGTTACAAGCACCCATTGAAGCCTCCCCTGTCGGCAAAACATCTTTGGGTGTGCGTTGTTTTGTATTGGTAGTCTAAATTAATTCTCAATTTAATGGTTCTGAAGACATTTAGTCATTATGCGTGGATGCGTCGTGGTTTATAAGCTGTAGCAAAAGGTTCTAACTGCGATGTGCTATGTACGAAAAAACACTGCAAAAGACTCAGCATTAAATCGTCGCTTTTCTGTGGTCATGTCAGGCGGTTTGTTTTGAGATTAAGCACTTTTCTGCAATCGCTGTCCAACAACCTTCTCCAGTTTCGCCCACACCACATAGGCGACAGTGAAGTTCAGGCCTCCACTCAGCGTCTTCGTTTATAAATAAGACAAACAGGGAAAGTATATATTATGACAGTGGGCGCTCGCCGATCAGGTTACGGAACATGCTCATTCCGTTGTGCCTTGGGGCTCATACTAGAACCCTCGCAGGCAGTCGCACAGCGACTGGTAGTAGACATAGATGAGATGGAGCCGACAAAGACAAGGGAGACCGGAATGGCCATTTCTGGCTTATTAGCCGTCATCCGCCAGTCATACTCAACCCCAAGTGTGGATCACTTGAGATTCGAACCCGGGATCTTTGTATATATTACTATTTTTCCGTAAATTAAAATCCGAGACAGGCAGTGATTCCTTATACTAGTTGCTTCATGGTAAAACGCGACTTAAACTGCTTCCCGTAGTCGGAGAAAACCCGCTGCATCGAGAGATCGCCCAGCAGCCTTTGGACCTATCGGTACTGCTATCGCTGTGTTCGATGCGATTTTTATGATTCTATGACCTTTACAACCCAGACAGGCTTACCCTTGCGAATTCCGCCTACATCTGTGTGGCACGAAATTTCTCATACTGACACTAATCATCATTAATTTCCTCATCTGCGAGGACAGGCAAGACACTGAGGGCCCTGGTCACTTTAGTGAACCAAACAGACCATCAAAAGCCCACGCGCATTGTGTGTGCGTGTTAAAAATAAGACCCTAGAGGGGCAACTTGGTTCGTAAGGGCGTGTTAGCGCCCGGTAGAAATTCCGGCCGACCAGACCGGTCGGACGGGCAATAGGCAGCGGTGGTGTCTACCATGCATGGGGGTGGGAGCAAGCCTCCATGTCCTCACAGCATTTCGAGTAGGGGAATTAGGGAAAATATTCGCAGTTGGAATTCAAGTGACCAACTAAAAGACCTAGTGATTGTGATCCGATGAGAGAGAGAGAGAGCTGACCAACACCTAGCTTTAAAGGCTAATATATAAATAAAATAATTTAATTAAAGACCCATCGCGGTCCCTTCAATGTATACGTACTTTAAACAGGGCCTACTGTCAGTCAACTGCTTAAAGTTTAAATCGAAAAATCTACACTTCCTTTGAGGTGAATGGAGGCCAGCAGGAATAAGACATGCCGCAGTGAAACTGACGAAGTAGAACCTTTGGAATTTAGGCATCCAGGGCTACATTCCTCACCTGGCGGAGTTTTCGCCAATAAATTTGGACCAAATTCGGTTTTTTATTAGGTGACCAAACCAATACTTAAAATGCAAATTTTAAAGTGACGTAAAAATTGCAAAACTCGGTGGATCTGAGGATGACTGAACAGTTTTGCAACATACCCACAAACTCTTCCCCATCAGTCACCGGGACGTTTCCATCTCCCCCCCCCCTCAGGTTTTGGTCCTATTCTGATATAATTAACGTAAAACAATACAGTTTGTCGGTAGCCCCTTATCTCCATATATTACTAATACCTGTACGACTGCATACAGGGGTTGGACATTGGGCTCCAAGGCACACGGTATGCGTCCATCTACCACAGGTAGTATTCCTAATCACAATCGACAGGACAATGGGCCCGTGGTTCGAGGGTTAGTGCTGAACCTACTAACGCCCGATGACCAAAGAACCTGGTTTCAAACCGCAGGTCCCGCAAAGACCTGCGATTAGAGAAGGCTGGCTGATGACAACTAACAAGCCAATAATGTTTACTCCGGTCTACTTTGTCTTTGTCAGTAGCCCTTTATCTGTACTCGCCAGGCCTGCCAAAGGCTTTGCAACTTTAACGCTGATGCGCATCCCGTAGATAATCCAATCCTTGTGCGTTCACTACCCTTACCTGATGCTGTTCCTGGTGACGGGTTAAAATGTGAATCCGGAACTTTGGGTTAATAAAATACAAGATTCAGTAATCACGTCTCCTTCTAAACTACCTTCTGAAAATGCTCGCCTGTGTCGGACATCATGCTATTAATAGGAATTAAGCTGGGCCGTTAAGGTCAAAGAGGACATACAACCGGACCACCGGCGTAAGGAAAGTATACCGTTGTACGAATGCGATTGGTTCTAAAAAGACATGCCAGTTGCATGAATCAGTTGCACTCCAGCTTCGCCCCATGGTAGACAATCACAGTTGAATTAACTCTAGAGTGAGACATACATCGTGTGAAAAAATGCTTGGAAACGATTTCGTCCGGTACGGCTACAAGACACCGTTCGATTCACCGTCAAGGTTGACATCCGTCGGACTGAAGCTGAACTCATCCACGGCATAAATCTACGCCCCTCTCGTGAGTTGATCAATTTTCAATGTTCGGCCGTTTTTATGTTGACCAGTCAGTTGTGCCCTTCCTTAATTCCGCACAGCGCCTCCTCGGACGTCAACAGCAGCTCTTTCAGGGCTCCTGGCGATGGTTTTACAGCCAGCTGACCTATCGCCACCTTCGGGCTGTGAGGGGCGACGATACGGTCAGCACCAGACGCCTCAGTTGAATGACCCTACCAGGTGTGCAGGAAATAATTTAGAGACAGCGTGCAGACCCATTCGATTTACTAACAGGCCCAAATTTGGCCAACTGCTCCAGATAACCATGTGAATGGTACAACTGTCATCTGGCTAATTCGAGTGAATTAGTTCGAACTGAAGATAAAAGTTCCAGTAGGCAGTAACTAACGGCCACCACATAGAACAGTAGGCTTGACACACACGGACGCACGTGCACGGCTGCACAGATGTTTCGGTTCAGTTCAAACACATCTCCTGGTGCCAGTAGTCTGCTCAACAGCAGCATGATACATTTTCTGCCTGTTACCGTCCCAACACTTCTGTTGTTATAGAAGGTACGGTTGGATTATGTGCGCCCACCATCCGTACGTAAAGTCAAGACCGCCACAGACGTGAGCATACGCATAATGGGGAACACCTTAATGCAGGGAAAAAGTGAACTTAGCCTCCCGAACTTTGCCGTACAGGCTACTCTTGGGCATAAAGAAAACTGACAGACAAACAGTATAGCATTCAGAAAGTGACTAATCTTGGGATCGACGCGTGTTGATCTTGACGAATTCGGTGATACACCCATGAATTATCCCAAAAGCACAGAAGAGAGCAATCTTATTGTAAAGAGTAATGCTGTTCTTCAAAAAAAGACATTTCAGTCGATTATGAACACAAACCGATCTATTGGCTTGCAGATGCAAACCGGCAAAGGTCACGAACAGGCAACCAATCATCAGGCCGACGTTGGGAAAGTTATGACAGCAGATGGGTAGGACGTGAAAGAATGAAGGTAGATTGATACAATACTGTTACGAGCTTATTCTGCCTTCATTCAGCCAATCATAATCCTGATCCACAGCTGAATGAAGGCAAAGGAAGCCCGTAACAGTATTGTATCAATCTACCTACATTATCTGTCGTCCAAAGCCTCCGCTTTAGTGAATTCTGTTCAACCGAAAATAATCCGTTCCCCCATTAAAAGTAACCATTCACGGAAAGTCTTAAAAAGGGCCATAACGGCATCAGATTCGAAATATATACCTCAGTGGAAATGCCGTTGGAGACTGCTAGTCACTGTAATATAAATTTTCCAAAGATTCGGTCATCATGGCATGGGCTCATTTTAGTGGAGCTTTGCGTGGCCTGGAGACGTTTCTACGTAAAAGGTTAGCTGTTCACACAAACCAACAGGTTCTCTTGTTTCTACACTAAAAGTGGTGTATTTTCAGAAGTCTTAGATTGCTAGAATGACGCCTCCTTACAAATACGATTAAAGGACACGGCTCTAACAGAGGATGCTGTCAGCGATCCCAGGTCTAAGTCCGAAACAGAGATCATCGGGCGCGTCAGTCCAAGTATGCCTACGAATATGGGTTAATATGCCCTCTTAACAAAATGCGGCCGCCAATTCTCTGTAAAAGGAGTCGATGAAGGAAGTTCTGTTGCTTTGCAATCAGCTTGGACACGCAAAAGCACCTAGTCCAAAAGGAATAATGGCAAAGCTTTATAACCGTTCGACCAACAAAGAGAGGAGCCGGGAAACAGATTTCCCCTCTCTCGTTGTCTGCTTAGGCAGATCAAAGGCGGTGAGTCAAGCCAGAACGATATGTTCGGTCGGCCGAGGGTTGCTCACACAAGCAATAGTTCACCCATTGCAAACGACGACGACCAAGGCTCTCCCCGAGAGAAACGGCAGTGACTTGGACGATTGGAAATCATATGAGAGGACTTATGAGCCCCTCTACCTTCGCTCTTCTTATACTCCTCATTTTCTAATGACAAGGCACAGTAAAAATGACAGGAGATGGTCGTGGGCGAAGAAGCTGTCCAAGTAAAAAGTCCCCCAACACGCGCGCCACACACGCACATTACTATCTCACTCCACACAAGCCAAACTTCATTTAAATCCGTTTGAAATGCTATAGTCACGGTACTAAGGAGCCATTAAAATCTGGTCCTCGTTAAGGGGGAGCACACAGTTATCTAATCTAGCTGGAAATATTCCAATTTGCAACTATAAGTGCATAGTGTGTGTTAAAAGACGTGTCCGATTTATTGTAATTTAGCTGGAAGAGGTCTCACCCTGGCCCCTCTGCCACCCCATACCGATGGAATGTCAGAATTAGGCTGACTAGAGATGAGATTTGGAATGTTGACTGAGGTGGCAAAAAGGTCCTGGCCACGGCTTTTTGGCCCTGCATAGGTCCAGCTCATTTTGGCTGTACTATCCTTATGACACATTTGCACTGGGTTGAAGGGTCCGAAACAGGCAGGAGAGTCGGCACACTTAAGGTCAAGACGGATTCCAGAAAGGTAATCAGCAAAGCAAAGCTGGTATACGCGCAGATATGATTTGCCGCGAGGCATGGTAGGCAGGAAAACATTTCCCGAATTTCTTGTCTAGCAGGAAACGGCAATAAAAATTTTCCTGAAAATGTGCCCCATGGTATAATTGCAAAAAAATTAACAAAACTGGTCAGCCATTGTAGCCTTAACGACGCACGACTAGTCGTTTACAAGAAGTTTATTACCTTGCCAATCTCAAAGTTTCCAACCAAACCTTCCGCGAATACTTATATATTGTTTTCTTTTTAGCAGCCGTCTCAGTCACTACCACAATATTAATCTAATAAAGTAGGAAGTGGGTGAATCGCAAATATCCCCACCGAGTTATCTCAGGGGAATTCAGTAGGATGACCTGCCGAGCCACAGGGTCAAAGCAGGGATTATCTCAGATTCGACGTTAAATGTGTGAAGAACTAGAAACTGGCCCCTCATTCACCTCGGGATGATAAGGCACGGCCTTTAAGGGCGAAAATGAAATTATCACATATATCGGCCTGGGATTCCGACAGGAGTTCCGAGCAACCCTACATGGTCCATTTTTTGAAGGTCCAGTGGAATCATTCAGTTTTCAAAAGCGAAGGGAACTGTAAAATGCGTTCCTTCGTGATTAACAATCTTCAGTATGTTGTAGTAAAATCAAGAGTATGGACTGGCCTATGGAAACAAAGAAAGGTAGCGCTAGGGCAGCCTACTAAGCCCCTTAGACTCCAAAAAACATGAAGACGTGGGGGAGTTTGTGTGATATGGGAAGCCTTGTTTCCTGAGAGAACTCCGGAAATGAAGCTGGCAAGCCTTTACACATTAACCCTGTCAGATATTCCTCAAAGGCCGTCGGGGGGTAAGTTAAGACAAGTCCCCTTTGAGCAAATATACTGCGCAAGAAGCCCAAAGACCGGATACCCACGAGTGCCTTACACGTCTGACTGGGTGACTGGCTCGAAGACGGAGAGTCAGGTTCACTGGCTCCGTTTTAACGTGGTCTCCACGGCATTCTCACGAAAGTGACACCCCTGCCTCTCCTCCCCCTCTCCCGATTCTGCGAAAACCGGGTACATTTCTTTCGGAGGCCAGGTCGTGACCGGCGGCACGCGCAGACGGGCTGTTTAGCTTTGTCGGCCACTGGGACCAAGCCCACTCCCGATCGTCTTAGCACTGTCATACTATCGGAGTCAGGTGAGTGATGGAAAGGAGGCGATAGAAGCTTCGCAAGTCTGTCTCACTGCAAACTAATTCATGCGCAAGTCATCGGTACTGCCCTAACCCTGTGGGACATGCGGTGGACGTCGTCGCTCGCAAGGGTTGAACTGCAACATGTCTGACCAAGTTATGTGCATGAGTTAAAAAGGATTGGCACAACTTACGGATCAACAATAATAGGCACCAAATGTGTCTGGCAGGCTTTCATGATCGGTCACGTATACTTCAGATACAGCATAAATAGTAAAGCATACCAAAGCAGTCCATGAGATAGTTTCAGCTTATCTGTTAAATGGTAACTCAACTAACCACTAAATGCATCGAGATGGTCAATAAGACTGCCCCACAACTTCGGAAACGAGTTACTAACGAGTCCTAAAAGAATCCGTGCGTGGGAGTTGATTTTTTTTCCCCTATTGTCAATGAACATGAATTTTGATGCAACTGCTGAAAATCAAATGAGTACAATATGCTCTACAGAGATTAACGGTCGTGCAAATTGCAAACGATGTAGACCTTAATGGCTTACCCGAAACCTTGACCTTCTTGACAGTTTTGTTTGAGTTGTTATCCACAAGAACGTTCACAGCGATGAATTCGCCGTGGTAATATTTCTAGAAGGAGAAATAAATAGCACGGGTCAGAAGGGCAACAGCACTTTCGTGAATGTTAAGAGAAAAACCGAGATTGAATACATTTGTGCATTGCTTACGGTGGAGTACTTAACTACTGATGCCGAATAAATACAAAAGGAATTGTGAAGGTAAGATCCACGATTAACTACAAAATGAAGCAAGTTGTTCGGCTAGGGCAGGTTGACCTACATAGGGCCGAATGGTCAACACAACTCGGTCTGCCTGAGGCAAAGCAAATGAAGGCAGCAAATCGATAAGGTGCTTTTGGCGAGGAGCCCGACAGTCCGACTGTCGCGAACGCCGATATCCACCGTTTGCCTCGCAGAATGGCAGGCGTAGGGACAGTGACTTGCGCTTGAATTAGTTTACAGTGGTAGAAGACTTGCGTGTCATCTACCGCACCCTCTCCTACCTCACCCACGTTGTAGCGGAAGTGAATAAGAGGGAAATAAGGCTTTTGAAAGGCATGACTCAAGAAACTCTTTTGGTAGTAGGCGTCCCCGGCAGGTTGGTGGGCAGCTTTTCTGGGCATTGCAACACGAAAGGAAAGGAATGTATGCAAGTTTATTAGTGATTCCTAACACTGCAATCGTCTCGACTGACAAAGTCGCAACGACAATTTTGCCCAAGTCGACTTATTCTGCGATGCCCTAAAACCTCTCTATGGGGTCATGTAAATTACTTGAGCAGTAGTCACGAACCCTTCTAAAAAAACTCATTAAAACGGTGGAGAGTAAACTAGAGACACGGCTGGCTTTTCAACTCAGACTAAAGACAAAGCGTACCCATGGAAAATTTACTACCGAAAGTCAGTGAAAACGACAAGCCTCCAAGGCTTTTTACCTATCCCACACGAAATGCTACATACAATTGACTGGGCATTCTTTTCTGGACGTTAAACATTTTAACTGGAACGCAATTCACTGCATGAAGGACTTCAATAAATTGGCTCAAATAATGAAAGATGAGTCAACGTACACTTTTCATGTCATCGTTTTTTTTTCGACGGTTCTTAGTAAAATAACTTTTTCCATCCTTCCACTTCAAATATAGCGGAAGTCGAACACAGGCGTCATCATGTCAGTTAAAGTGGCCTTATGGGAATCTGCAGACTACATCGCAAGTCTGTTATTGGGAGAATGGTATTACCGACAAAGACAAGGGAGACTGGAATGGTCATTTCTGGCTTATTAGCCGTCGTCAGCCAGTCATACCTAACCCCGAAGTGTGCAACATCCGGGGCTCGAACTTGCAACCTGTTAGTTAGAAGCCCATGTCTCCAACAACTGGGTCACGGGCCCATTGTCCTGTCCGTTTCGATCTGTCTGCTATTTTTACTTGTGAAATTCACGTCTACCGGTAGGCGAATGGACCTCAAGTGGGCTGCCCTAACATACCTCTTGTGGCAAGCCTTTTCACTGATGAATTTGAACTGACATCTGTCTCAACACTACACAACCACTGGAAGCATGGCGGATTCAAATCACTGACACACTTGTCATACTTAGGACTCTGCATTGAATATGACTCAAATGTATGAGAACTTGTATTTCTCGATTGCCTGGTACATAAGTCACAAGGGCCTAACAAATACGACTGCATGCCACAAAACAACCAGCAGTGATCGATATTTGGCAACTAATTCTTGCTAAGTAGTCAGACCATAAGAGAAACAGGCGCGTCATTCCCTTCAACAACTGCATGACTGTGCATGAATTCGACTAATATACGGGCAGAAAACTCTTGCAAAGGGAAGAATTTGGTCGATGAGACAATCCACATTACTGAAAAAAGCCCAATAGCCGGAACAATTTGCCCCTAATACCAGTCATCCGATAAAAATATTCCCAAACCAGTCAGTGTGATCGTCGCATTTGACGTCTCCAATGGTATACCTAGTAAGGTTAGGGAATCAGAGATCCAGCTACCGACGGTTAAAACGGTAACTGGACCCATGGGCTTGCGTGTCCAAACAGCCTTATGGTGACATGAGGGCAATCTGACTGTCGATTTCGACGATGCCCACCGTATGCCCCAAGGCAGAGTGCGAGCAGGAACGGTGACTTGCACGTGGATTGGTTTACAGTGATTGTAGACTTTCGCTGCATCTTCCGCACTCTTTCCTCCAGACACTCCTTGGTTTGGTGTCAAGTTGGTCAAGACGACCGAGGGCGGAATCGGACTCATATGAGTGGTGCAGCCTGAGCCGTCACACCCTCGATGTATCGCCCTGGTGTGAACTCCATGTGGGTTCAGCGCAACTCTGGGGTGGCTCATTGTAGGGGGGCAATACATGGCAGATCGAGAACGTTCGACTGCTGAGCATTTATATACTACAGACTGGAAATGCTGTTGCGATGCCCAGAAGGTTACCCTACACGTCGCCGGAAACTTTGATATCACAAGAAGTCCTTCACTTATGCTTGACTTAAACATTTTCTCTCCCTTGCTCATTTTCTTTCCTTCATGGCGTGATGTTTGATTTTCTCATGGTCTTTACATACGAGCTTACAGACTCAGCGCGGGAAATACACGTAATTTATGCTTTAATCAAAACAATAGGTAGGAAACGTGAAAGCACCTCCTTGTCCAGAGAAACTTCCAGCCGCAAAGTTCCAGGGCTCATTATGAAGTCCTTTACCACCTCGGCGGAGGGCTGGGGCGCAGATTCCTCTGGCGCGTATGTCAACTTGCGGATAGCCATTCGCACAGAACTCCTAATGCGATAGGGTGGGGGGTGGGCAGGCATGAACAGGGATAAAAATTTTCGTTAAAAACAAACAGCAGTGCGGGGAGTGGGGAGCAAGTAATCAGAGCAATGGAAAACAAACGCGCGAGAGCTGGGTTATTTACGGAATTAGTGCCGTCCAATGGGGGAGGGGACTGTGAGAGCCATCACTGCCGCGAAAAGCCACACAGAGAAAAAGACTTTTGCAAAGTCTAGGCAGGAACACTACTAGGGGAGTAGAAATCGGCAGTTTGTTTCTTGAACTCCCTCCAACGTTCAAAGCCATAGATCTAGCATTATACAGAGAGCACGCGTGAGCCTCAAAAAGGAGAACCTGTGCAGTGGTGCGGTTCTAAATTGCATGGATAGCGTAATTGCCAGTAAATGAACAAAGAACGTCTAAATAGGACAAACAAGCGCCTCCCATCCGGCTTGGACACTGGGAATGGAAAGTTTGGTGGACTCCTACGTCCGTAAGAAAACATAACAGCCCCTGAAGATAAGGCGAGGGCGGATTCTCGCAGCCATAGCGACTCAAGTCTACCTCTAAGCTAGCTGGCCCAGGATGGGTCAAGAATGTGGCGGTTTAAACGCGTAGGTTAAGAAATTTTAAGTCAGGTTTCAAGGGAGACGGATTTTTGTACTAGTTTCGCTCCTACAGCTGGTAAACTTACTTCAAGTCCAAACTATATGAAAAAAAATTGTAAGAGGAGGCGTATTTCTCTAGCTGATCAGCAGCTCAAATAAAATGAACATCAGTGTTCTCTACACAAGTGCCAGCTGCTTATGCAACAACTGACTGCGCCCCAAGCGAACAGCATCTTAAATAAGGTTAGCTAGCTGGAGGTGGACAAATCGCAAGACCTGATGACCTTCCTGTGATTCCTCCACAAGTTCCCTGTCGTAACATTATAACAACCGGAATGTACACACGTAAACAAGATATGTAGTTGCCACAACTCGCTAATAGGACGATAAATGTCATGGTGGCGGTGAAATAAGATCTGCAAATCTAGTTTTAACAGCCTACAATACGAAATTTCGAATTGGATGGAGTTTAGAGCATAAGGAAATGGGCCCACCAAGTTCACGGGAGAGGTAAATACGATTAACAGTGGGACAAAAGGTGGGAAATTGTGGAGTTCAGGAGAGATAGATAAATGCCTCCTTCTCGGATAGAATTTCTAACTGAACTCGCTTCGAAGTTTTAATGGCAGGTGACACCCACGCAAATGTATATACTACAAAAAAACTAACATGAGCAACGGAAATTGAGACTGAGGCTTTCGACGTCTAATTAGGCTAGACCTAATAGGCCGAACCGGGCAAAAACCATATAAACCCGACACAAAGAGGCATGACAACCTAACGTGGACGGATATGAACAGAGACCCGGCCAAATTCCGGCGACTTCAGGGGAGAACACTTACGCTGAACAGTGCCGGACATTGAAACGCCTTGCGAGGTATAATCATGCGGTTATCACTAAATTTCGAGGGACTTCGAATCTCCAGCAAAAATATTGAGAGTGATCGATGGAACTTTAAAAATGCAAACCGGCAATGCCCGACGCAGATTAAAGTTAACGGCTTATAATCTACCTGCACACCCATTGAGCATTCGGAAAGCAAGGCTGCACTTAAAAAAACAACTGGGACGCGACAGTTGCAGACCATGGTTACTCTGATCGAAACTGACGCACACAGCAATAAGTCTAGGGCACAGAAGCAAGCAGAAAAGTCTCCTAGTAGAGCTAAGCAGGAGAGTGAGACAGCAAGTCGTCTACGTTAAGCAGAGTAGCATCTGTTCCCATTCATTATCTGGAGAGTTTGAGGCAGTAAAGACGAGTGCGCGCATGAATCGGTCTGAATCCGACATGCATTCTACTGGGTAGCAGTTGGGAAAAAACGCAAATCTAGCAGCAAAAAGAGGGAAGCCCTGGATTTCCTATGCACGCTGGACGGCGTTCAGAGGGGGAAGTATCTAAGATGGTGAAGAAAAGATTCCTCGACACGCGTAGCAAGGTAAGCCGTTAACGGCAAAAAGCCTATACAATCAGCTGCAGGAAAAACAAAAAGTGCTGGGTGAGGGGAGGGGGCGTTCGCTGGGCGAGTGGATTAGGGACAAGCGCAAAGTTCTGCGATTCGGGCAAACACAAAAGGGCACTAATGTGAGGGTTGGTGTGATAGTAACCGTGGGTTGGTCTGCAGATTGACGTAGGTTTGAGAAGGAGGCAATTTTCGGCGGACAGGGGCACATCCAATTGTACGAATACTGAAAAGAAGATCAAATGGCGGAACGTCGTCAGAGATGGGTGTCCATAAGGACAGGAACAGGATGCGATGCAGTTACCTGAAGAACTGCCTGAAGATGTTCATGGGCTCGAACCGAGTACTTTTAGAGACAAAAAACTGAAAGCGTCTTCCAACCGTACACGAGATCCACCGAAACGTGCAATGAGTTCGCGCTTCGAAGTCCTACAGAGCGCCTGGGACGATGACGGAGGGAAAACGTGCTTGTGCAAATGATTTCACTTCTACGCCATTTAGCCAGTAGGTCTCTTCTTAATAAGTAATTCTTGTTAGATGTTGCCCTCTCAAGATACCAGAAATTCTGGAACAATAGGTGAAGGGCGGTTCTAGAGAGTACTTAGACCAAAATTGTCGAATACAATCGTTAGCGCGTAAAACTATCCAGGTACGGCAACGTGAGAAGTCTGTTACTCAAAGATCTTTAAAATGGGGTTGCAGTATTTTGCGTTTGTTAAAGGGCGCCCTACTTTATTTCCTAAAGTGCGCCGCAACTGATCGACGTAAAATAAGAGTTCTGAACTTCTAGATGTTGCTGCATTTAGTGGGACAACAGGTAACAGGTGGACATGGAAAATATACCATTTCGGTCATTGACCCATCTCATTAAATGTTAGTCGAAACTATGGAATGTGTCTTCGACTAGGGAGGACTGCTTAATTCAGGTGGTATTATTGATTATCATGCACAATAAGCCCTAGATATTTCAGACACGTCAAGGCGTTAGCTTTTTGGCCACCTGCACAAACTGCACTCGGCAAAAATGATTACTTAAGGAGTATGCAGTTTCGCTAGTGACTTTAGATGCCCCTGTAAATTCAAATATATTTTGCGGAAAACATGCGCAAAAATATACTTCCTTGCACTTGCCTGGTATGAAATGACTTCTTCTTCAAATTTTTTACTCCAAGAAAGGGTACACTTAGGTTTTACGGAAACTCTTCAGTTCCCGAATAATATTGAATCCAATCTGCCTTTGCATTCGCGTTTACGGATTTAGCTTACATGTTGCATACTTTCCATGTAAGGAAAATCATGCATTCCTATATGCCATTAAGAAGATACCATGCAGGGCTCATAAAATTTTGCAATGAATGTGTATTATGTCGTAAACTTTGTAAGCAGCATTTAAAAACGGACAGATACGATGCTATTTGAGTGGACATTGCACGGCCTTAAAAATCCCATAATTAGGAACTTTCCTAAACCCGCAAGATACCATTTCTCTGAGTACAAAACTTGGAAAGGGAGTGATTTGCTACCTAATGAGCACAGTAAAGTATACCCTTTTGCATGTTTTCTATAGAATATATACGAATGTAAAAGGGCAAAGAAAAGCAATATCAAAATGCATACCACCAAAGTGGTCATCTTTTACTGAGTGAGATTTATGCAGGCGGCCAAAAAGAAGTGCATTCAAAATCCAACATCCTGGAGTGTTTGAAACATTACGAGTTTATGTCGCAAGACAGCCAATATTACAGCTCTACTTAAGTGACCTCTCCGAATCGAAAACGCATTTCAGAATTTTAGTCGAAATTTGATAAGATCGGTCACTGGCTGTAGAACAGGAAACATGGAAAGTTGTTAGAAATGGGAAAAAGATCGATCTTTGAACTAAATGTACTTAAGCGCAGAAATCTGGAGATTTCTAAAAGACGATTGCTTTTGTGAATTAGCATTTCCACACAGCAGTACATTTCAAATACCAGTGGCATGCTTGGAAGCGTACTTGACGATGTATCTCATAAGGAATGAATAGAACACGAAAATGCCCTAAGTTTGGAAAATCATAAAATTCTAGCTTGCTCTTACGCAGACCTGTTTTAAATGGTCTGTGAGAAAGCAACATGCCAAAAAACCTATTATTCAGTATTGTAATAACGAGGGATAACAGCACTTGTAGTTACGTATGGTGTGCAAGAGAAAAAACATGAATGACTGAGGAGCACACATTTTGTCTTCCTCCTAGCATATTCTAGAGGAACCTTGTGTTACCTGACATTTTTATTGTTAGAAATCTTAAACGACAAGCAAGTACGGTAGGAAGTCAGAAATACCACTCATCAAAAGCTCATCTCCTTAGTTACAGGGCAAGATGTTCAGCCTAAACAATTTCGTTCGAATCAGTGGGCGACACTTTTTACATCTTTACGGGAATTAAGGATGTTGAAACGGTTGAGGGAGGGGAAAAACCGAGTGTAACTCCATCTCAGATCTCACTTTTCTGTTCTTCCCAAGGGTTTGGGGGTCCTGTCTGCCTGCCACAAAAATGACGCTACAACCAACACGTAGTATGGTGCAATACAGGCAAAGGCAGTGGTGCCTTTATGGTCGTTTCTGGTTTATTCGTCGTACTCAGTGACACAAACGCCTGCTCCGGCCCCGTAAGAACTGATATTTGGCTTGGCGCAGTTGCTCATTAAACCGAACGCTCTATTGGCTGAGCCAGCTTTGATAACTGCAATAACTGTCGTGAGCCGACCCAACTTACCAACAAGACGGAAACGGACATTTTCGTTCAACCTTGAGACCTCAGTCTAGAGCCCCGTGAGCAATCGTTTAATGACAAGAGAACGATAACACCTTGGTAAGTTTGGACAACCATCGGTAAACAGAGATTCTTGCCAGCCTTTTTCCTCTTCAAAAACTGTTCAGCAATAAAATGCCGGCTTTTCCGCCTTCAAGATCACTTGCTCTACCTTCCTACCATGCATCACTGTCCGATTTTGAGCAGCGGCGCACCAGACGACCTGCCACTTACTATTATTGAGCACTATAGAGCTACACAATGACAGGTTTGGCTAAAGGGGAGAGAAAAGGATCACGCACACCGAGCTTCCTCTGCAGAAATAATCAGTCCGATTACGCGTCATGCAGTCTCTACACTGTTAAACAGCTTTGTGGGGACGAGTATGTAATTTAAATAACATAAAACCGGGACGGGTTTTGTGAAATAAAATGCTCTTGGTAATAAAAAAAAAAAAGTAGACTAATATAACTGACTTCCAGTTACCCACACATAAGGCCTGAAAGCCCGGTTAGTGAATGCACAGGAAAGCTCGGGTCTGTTAAATCAGATGATACAACCTGGGTGAATATTAATGACATAACAGAACTAAGTGAAAAATTCCCTTAGTAGTTGAAAAGGCCGGGAAGTGACAGCACCAATACGAAATTCATTAAGAGGAACCCCATTGCATGAGCCGATTAGCGCCTTCTATATGGGAGGAGCCTTTGGTGCGTAAGGCTGCCTTTGAATTCGTTAACAGGGGAAGGCCAGACCATAAAGGCCTTAAGTTCGGCGACAAGAAGCATGGTTCATGAAGAGCGCAAAGCCCACAGCCACTTCTTGAGGGAGACTTGGTGTCTAATAATCAGTCATGATTGCATGCGAAGGCGTTATGCGTGGAAGTTAACATCTTGTGGATAAATCCAACACAAAAGCCCATTCTAGTAACCATTCTATTAGCTTGGAGGTGCGGGAAATGTGTTCAGTGAAATGTAAACTTTGAGGTGAATGAGTGCCTGTTCAAAACAGACCGCGAGTACAACCACCTACTAGGCCCGAGTCGCAGCAGGCAAAAAGAAGCTAAAGTTTGTGGAATCATACGGAACGCACCAAAAAGCTGCATACCGACATAAACTGTATCAATCTCTACGGTGACTGCAGTTATATCGCTGCCGTTCTTGTTACAATAACCACTCTAGGCCTTTTATTGCATGACTAAATCGGCATGGCTAAATCCGCAACCCCGTGCGCAGTCGGGACCGTAGTGGAAGACGAGTGTAACATTAGGTGTCTTCCCCGGGTTTACGCCCACAGAAACTAATTAAGCGAAACTCTTACTTGTTCTGAGGCCAGCCATCTATCCCCCCACTCACACACCCCCCCTGAAGTTCCATTATATCCTACGCATATGCCTGGAGGTGAAATTGTCCGGACTGTCACCCCGCCCGCCCGGCCGGCGACGGCGACGAAAGGGTCGATTAAAGGTGTGGTCGGGGGTGGTGGAAGCTGACTTCGAGATAATATCTTGCCCCACAGCCTTCGGCTTGCGACGCTAACGTATCACCTTGTTCATGTTCGCTCGTGAATCTGCTGCCAGTCGACTGAAACACTGGGCCAGCTAAATCGGTCATGATGAAATCCGTTATAAATGAATGTACAATGGGTAATAAGATGAGGACACTGAGTATGCGAAAAAATCAAACTGTTTAATAACCTTGATTCCCGCCAGATGAGACGACGGTTTAGAAGGGGCAGTATGCTGGTGAGAAAGGCAAGGGAGTTAAGATGATGGCCTTGGATGAAGGATGATCGATTTCGGTAAAAGAGACAGACTGTATTGATCAAAAAGAAAACACTATTATTTTTTTAAAAAAGGAGCCGCATGCTTAGAGCAGACTGCGCTTTCGGGAGAAAACCACGTGGATGTTGGAGACCTCTGACAAGTAATATCTTCAGACGCATAGGAGCACGTACCGAGTTTGAGGCTTTTCATCACACTCCTCGGCTATGTAGGCCCGGAGTTCATAGTCCACACCGCAGGGCTGAAGGGTAATAGGAGCGTGAAAAATAAACTGCAAACACCTGGAGACATGCAAAGAAAAGCAGACTGGCCTAGGTTAGAAATCACTAAAGACAATCAGCCCGACGGAGAGCCCGAGACTTCGAGTTGCTAACCGAGACCAAATGATAGCAGCATCATCCTGCTTTGTTAATCTGACCTCATGCGAAATAACATAGTCAGCACAGTTGTGGTAATGCGTTGGTCGGTCCCGATGATGTCGCCATGTATGAGAGTCTGCCACAGCGGGTCTGGAGAGCCCAATTTACCCTATTTTCCACCGACAGAGACCGAATACCGACGCTTTAAGAACCACTTTCATGTATTGAAGAACTGTGTCCAGACAAGTTATGATTCGACCTCCCGTTGACATCTCCGCGTGAGCAACAGCGCCAGATCAAGGGAGGAAGCACTGAGCTCATTAGGTGAACGCGGAGAACGTACCCAAACTACTCCAGTCGTCTTTCTTGGATGGTCCGAGATATTCTCGCGAAGTTGTCGCAGTGAGTTCGGACAGTCTCATGTGAGACGATGTCGGTGTACTTCACTCGAAGGATGGTCCTCAGACAGAGGCGGTCAAACAGCCACAGTGCTCGCTCAGTCAACATTCCCTTAGTTACTAGAAACCGCATGCCGTCCCACTAATTACCCAGTTCACCAAGTAGTTTCCCTAAGCGTTCTGACTGTTCTCGTAGATGAAGTTAGCTGACAAACTAGCCTAGTATCGTCCACTCCGGTCTTTCCTTTTTTGTTGACCCATCCCTTCAGAGCATTGGTTGTTTGGTGCTATACAACTTTCGACGACGACAGAGGCCTAGGACATAAAAAAGTAGTGAACGTGTGCCCCCACTCCGGTAACCTGATAGGGTCGTTGGACAAGTAAAAATGGCACATGCGCTCCCTAAATAACTAAGTCTGACTAGGACGACGTATACGTAAGAAGTGGGTCAGCTTATTATCCGTGCTGCTGATAAACTATCCGCGCGACCACTGGCAACAGGGTCAAGCGCGCATGCGACCCTAAGCTTGCACGTAGTTAAGCTGGCACGAGGTTTGGGAATCTAGGTGTACAAGGAACGAAAACCTCGAACCAAATCTTAACGACCGATTCGAAGCAGGACAAAAAATACTGGATACGAAAAAAAAACATTTCGAAAGGTGCGGCCTTTTTTTAAATTGTGGTGGTGCCAGCTTTGCAGAAATCACGTCACGCGTGTTTTTTTTAATTCAGAGATAGACCAGATTGGTTGTTGAAACAGACGCAATGTCGACCTACTGATATATACTTTTCGCGATGTAAGTAATAGCTCCGAAAGATTTTGCGGTAGAAAAATGCACGTTTAAAGGTGCGAAGGCTCGGCCGCTTATATTGATCGGCAGTTATTTCAAAAGCCCTTCTCCGGACGAAGCTATCTAACATTGGATTAATATTGACGCAGAGATCGCTTATGCTGGGCGACGGCCATAGATGCCCAGTTATGGCGGCCTTGTTAGCGTCAACCCTTCCATGAGACGGACGTTTTATTGCGATAATTACTGTCAGCAAGGAAAGAAGGTAACTTGGAGGACAAGTACTGCTCACTTCAGAAAGTGATGTGAGCCTACGATGAAGAGGGGAAGGAAGAGGCCGATGAAATGCCTCCTTCCCCCAAACCCTCACCCCCGGTTAGTGCACCGCAGCGGATGCGACTTTAGTAACCACCGCAGCACACAGTACCCGGCCTACAACTTCAGAAATCGAATTGCAGAACATGCGCGTCTGCAATGGTCGCGAGATTTGCAACCAAAACTATTAAGCTAGTGAAAGAAGGTAGGTAGTGGTCGAAAAATGTGTGAATTAAAACTAACGAGGACGAGTTGCTCTATGCTTCTAGATTATAATTATTAGTGATTTACGTTCGCCCAAAATTGTCATAATGAACGCACTTTCCACTATTTATTCCACAGAATTGGCATTCAGTACCCTTTCTAGTCCCGACTGACACCAGTGATATGAGATTTGTTTAGTGTGAAGGAAGTGACTGTGAGGTCGCGTTTCATGAATACGACTACCGCAACCTCATCTACGTAATTTTCCAAAACTGAAAGTACATTTAAAGTTGGTCGCACGTAATAAAAGAACTAAGAAGGTGTGTCTTCAATGAGAAGGTGCCAGCAGTCAAAGCGCTAAATTCGAGATATATTGTTCGTTTCGCACGCGTAATGATCCCCCTAGTGAGACCATTATTACACGTGCCAAAATAGGCGAGACCCTACAACTGCAACAGCAGCAACAGTTCAATCAGGCGGCCGGTACGAACGCAGCGCAAATTATTCCTCTGACAACAACGAACAACCAGTTTTTTTCATGTAAACGGAAGTGTGTAGTCGTGTTCGGCAGAAACAAACACATAAGTGCAACAGCAGGTCAGAAAACGCGGCCGGCCTTACTGAATAACCTGAAAACGGTTCTGGAGGGGGAGGTTAGAAGGCAGACTGCAATTAGGGGGCTAGGAACAAACAGGCTCACCTTTCCGCTGTCGTTGGGGCCGGGTTGGAGAGTAACGGAGGCGGGTGTTGCATGTGGGAGCTACGAGAGAAAGGGGGGTGCGTTTGAAAATCACCCGCATTACTTGCTTTAGTAAGAACAGACGACCGAGAAGAATTAACAAAAGAGTGACAAGTGCTACGTTAACACGAATTCTTGGATGGCAGGATCAATTGCGAGCGCGTTGACATTCGCACCACTATCAACGTACAGGCATGCGGGCGCAGGTTAGTCGTTCAATAATGTGATGACCGCTCGCATTCGGCACAAAGCCCTCACTCCACCTTATGTGTAATGTCATGGCCAGGAAAACAAGTGTGTGTGCGTGTGTGCCTGCGTCCATGAGTGTCATATCGTGTGCACGCTAAGAGAGATACCGGTGACGCCGCGCTGGAAACAACGACAAATGCGTCAGTTACGGCGAAGCAGAGTCTGCGCTAATTAAGACAGCATATCTGATGTTTACAAAGTTAGGCGGTCGTTTAAGGCTGCGCAGTTTATGCATTCGATAGCAATCGGCATGAAATGGGCTTTCGCTTGGAAGTGAAATTTTAAAATTTCCATTCCCTCAAAGCCTAGGGATTTACATTTCAAGACGAGAAAAATAAAAGCAGTGTCAGTTGCGAACGTCGGAGACCAAAGGCTGTTCAATTCCCTGTTTTACTGGGTGATGTTTTAGGCCAAACAAGTGAAAAATCTATCCTGTTAACGGAATGATTGACCGCTGACCATAGAAGCTTATGAGCCCGGAACGCGGAAAACGGAATGACCGCGTGGGTAAAAATTGAGCTCCAAGACTTGTTTTTTGCTCTGTAAGGTACCAGATGGTAGGGATTCAAGAGATTGACATCTATAGCAGCTCAGCAGCCAATGGTGATCCAGGGGTGATTCAGGAGAATGCGTACTACGCTGGATAGGCTTAACCGTAAAATATCCCATTAGCGCACGATCTGTTTAGTCAGAATTAGCTGTAGGAGTACAGTCAATATTGTGTAAAGTGAGTAAAGGCGTCCAAATAGGATGTATGATCGAGTCTTACCAGGTGAGAAAAAAATAAGCAAAATAACGAAATCGCGTGCAAAGTCGCACTGCTGCACAAGTAGCAAACAGACATATAGGCGGTAACAGAACCCAAAAGAAAGGCAATTTTAGACAATTTCGCAAAGACTAATGACCGAATAGCCTTTTTAGACGAGTAAAGGATGCGAAACAGATTGACTCACGCGCGTTGGAAATGTACTCACCCTTCACAAGGCTGACTTCCTCGGTTGATGATAATTCGAATTATCTTTGCTGTTACATTAATCCAGGAGTTTACTGCAGTTTAGGTACTTAGCTGAGCAATGACTAAAGTGGTTGCCGATGGTTGAGGGCAGAAAAACTACTCTACCTTTTTTAATGGGTCTCGCGAGCGTATAGAGTTAAGATGCAGGTGGCAACATCTAACAAATAATGAACATTCATAAGGAGTCATTGACCGACAGAGTGAAGCAAAGGAAAATGAGCTCGCAGTTCTGAAAAAGTTGTCCGTACGTGAAACGTGGTCTGCCAATCAGACATTGCATACTTGCAAAACAGTGAGTTGATGCCATTAACCACTGGCCCACCATTGTCTGATTATGTGACCCATGAAAGGTTAAAAAGTAGACAAAGTCCGTCGCCGTCTACCAAATTTCACGCAGATAGGCAGAAAAAGCCAGCATGAGAATACAGATGAATGTACGACAGTTCGGCTATCGTTTCGATGTTCACGGTGTGCGTCACAGCAGGGTGGACGGGGCGACGGCAACTTGCGCACGAAATACCTTTCCTTTAATAAAAGTGAACTTGACAGACTTGCGCTGCATCAACTGCACTTCCTCCTTCCTTAACCTGCCGGGCCTAGTGTCAAAACATTCAAGGTCGGAGGCCGGATAGGACGCAAGTGGGTGACGCGGCGGAAACCTGCGTCTAGGCGTTCCATCACGCCCACCCATGTATAGGTGCACAGCCCAATAACGAGTGCCAAGCTCTGATCCGGCACTCGTGTTGGCTTAGCGCAACTCGCGCGTGGCCTGTTGTGGGGGCACCAGCACATGTTTGCCCACACAGACGTCTCAGCTTGTCCCGTCACATGTGTATACATGCCAACGATTTGCAAAACATCCCATACGGTTCAGGCAACAGTGATGCAATTGACTGGCGTTGGTATGGCAAGCGGGCGCCACATGACCACGTGGGAGTCGCGTTTTCAAAAACACGGGTCGTGTATAGTACAGGACCAGCAGGTGCGCAGAAGGTGTTGGTACGCGCACGCATGGACGTCAGCTACAACGTCTGGTCTGGAGGCGAGGGTCTGCGGACCACCGTCATGCAGCCAATAATGGTGGGGTTTTATGGACTGGAGACGGAAGAAGCTATTTACGACACAGGTAACTTCATCAGTCGGTGACCCCAATCAAAGAAATCAGCCCAGGCCACTCTTATGTGCCTAAATATCTCCGATCACAGACAACATGGCGTGAGCTCGTGATGCAGTGATGAGGGCGCTGCCTAACAAGAAATTAACTCGGGCTAACTCTTGGGCGCGCGGCCTGGAGTGCTCTGACCGATGACGACAAATAAGCCCGCAGTGATTATTACAGCACCTCCAGTCTTCGTCAGTAAAGAGGTTTTTGCTCAACTGGGTTCACGTATTCTTGGTAGCTGGCGGAACTATTTTATTTATACTTAAATAATTGCGCTTATCATTCTGTTAAATTTCCAGTGGTTGCTAAACTTAACTGCATTTCATTGACATCGTGCACGGTAACTTCTTTTCCTATGCTCATTTTCTCAAAACTTATGCTGTATTTAACATGTTAATTCGAAGTGTGGAAGAATTCGCGTTTTTAGTACGCTTTAAATAACCAAACCTTTTCAGGTGGACACTACTATTAGCATAATGTGCTATCATCCGATTCCCCAGTGGAGCTGCCAAAGTATGAAAGTGTATTTGTACCCCTGCAGTAGCCTACGAGCACCATGCAGTCCAATTGGCATTGCATGCAAGCGTGCGTAAATTTGCTTCGAATGTCAGTAGATGGACTTAAAGTCACAATATCCCCTTTCAGCAAACATTTAAGGGGACAGTAACTGAGGGCATTAAATAAATTGTTATGTACACCTATGAAACGTGACTACCAGACTGGCCGATAAACAGATATAAAAAAATCAATAAAAACGAAAGAACATCTCTAGAGCACTTTTCCGAATTAAATTTATGTAGTTGGTTTCGAGGATACTCATTAAAAAGTCGAAACATTGACATGTATCAATTGATTTAAGCGTGCTTCTAGGTAAGCACCGAGGCAATCTACTTGCCTAAGGGGCAGCGAAAAATTCTGACAAATTCTTCATTAGCTTTGGTGCATACTGGATTATGTATCTGACGGCAGAGGAGCCAGTCTTATTTCAGTGAATTTTTGTAGGTCGATCAGTTGAGGTAGTTAAACATTCCAGAAAAAAAGGTTCCTTGGCAAAGTGACACCACTATTTTTAAGGCAACTGTTGTGGCATCTCAAAATTTTTACGCTTTGTCGGTATAATGTTGACTAGGGAAGGTGACGGTTCATGACAGTTTCTGAATATTCGTACGAAAGTCAACATCAACAAAGCAAGCCTCAGAGTCGGGATCCGAAAGCCTCTGACTAGCAGTGACTGTGAAGATGCTAGTGACAAAACTGGAAACAACAAACAAGCTGTCTTAGAAGCCGGTGGCACTCGTAAGGATTTGGCTAATGTTCCCGTTTGAGGTGATTGGCGTATAATTAAAGGCTTTACTAAATTGTTCGGCAACTAGGCGCTATGTTCCGAAATGCAAAAGCGCTATTGAGTTAGTCAGTCCATGTCGTACGTTAGGAGTACACAATACTGGAGGGAGTATTCTTCTGAGGAATTGCGTCATTGCCTGATGGAAAAAACTTAACGGCGAATACGCCTAAAACAGAGGGTGAAAATAAGCCGAAAAAAGAAGACAACATTAACATCAATCCTTTCTACGCAGCTTAAGAGGAGGGTTGTAATGTTTCTTAAGCAAAAACTAGGTTTAGGCGCTAACAAATAAGGCCTTGGGTTGTTAAGGGAGTTTTTAAGTTTTAGTGGAGACAACTTAAGAAAGTTCAAAAATAAATAATACTAACAGAGCGATCTATTACTCAGACGCACAGTGATATCATTTAGTTAGAGTTTAAGCGAGCTCATTGTATTTGGCGAGGTTATCTGGAACCCTACTTGAAAAAAGATTACTGCGGTCTGCGACACAGGGATGTCCAACCAAGATATTCCTCAAGCAACTTAGGTCGACGTTTATGTCTGGTTTAGAGGCCTTAATCGTTCGTTCTATTCAAAAAGTTGTCTTAAAAGACTTGGCTCTGAACAAAGTGTTAGGAATGGACTGTGAAATATTTGCGTCCCGTTTCTAACGTTGAAATGCTGTTTGGGATTCCATAAACATCAGAAGGGCGTAGAAATAGCATGCAAAAAGTAGCGCGGGAAAATTCAGATGTCAATTAGATGCAAGTTGTGCTGGGCTTCGCCTATACAGTAAAGGCTGTAGATTTTTAGTTATTTAGATGACAGTACAACAGCTCCTGTCAGACGTTGGAAAATTGCTGATCCCAATGCTCCTTCACCGTACAAAACTTTCTGGGGTAACATGCGGAGGAACCATAAATACCATTAAGAACTGCTTTCAGACAAATATAATTTGACATTTTATTATGACATTCACCTTCAAAGCTAGAAAATAGAGAAAATCAAATAGCGGAGCATGCGGAAGCCCCCACAACGGTCCCAAAAACACCTAGGTGTGATACGTCGGAAGTCAACGAGTTAGTTCCGATAGTTTTCCGAATGCATGAGTACTTCAGTCTCCCCTAACATGTACGCACCTTATGCAACACATATCTGATTTCCTCCAGACATTTCAGCGAGTACACTGACTTGGACCAGTAATGTTGAAATAACTGGGCCTCTAAGACAATTTTGTCACTTCTACATCTTTATTTATAATGCTGAACTAGGATGCAAATAAACTCTTATCAGTGGGCAAGAATATTCTGCGGTATATACAGTACCGGTAGTTTGCATTCCTGTCAATCTTACTTTTGTCGCTTTTGAAGAGCACATTTGACAGGACAGATAGCGTAGTCAGTCGCGTCCGGCTTGAGTATTTTAGAATCGGAAGAATTCTGGCAACCAGGACGTTACACGCGGTCTGACTGTGGGAACTAATAACACAAGTTCCAGTTCGGTGGATTCCGTTTTTTAAATAAAGTACTCAAGAAACAGTCGCAGTGTGTAACTGTTGGAAAACCGTTAAATCCTATAAAGTTCTGTATGTGTCACCGACATTTTGCACCCATTGTGAAAAGGATGGACCCACACAAGTCATACAAGGTCCAGAACGCTTAGTTTGTAGGCAGCTGCACTTAGAAGATAACGGAGAAAATCTAAACTTAACAACTCCAGTTAGACGTACAGTACAAAGTCGCTAACATGTGCCCTAAAGTAGGCGGTCATACTGGTTGTCTGACATTTCGAAGTATAATGTCCACATACACCGGTGGAAGTACGTATGGCATTCCTGTAGGTAGTTATTACGAAATTTAAATCCTATGGTGTCGGTCGACCACTTCCAGAAGTTCTAAGGTATCAGCACCTAACACATGAGGAACTGACATTTAATTCAATTTCATTTAATGCTATATAACAGTAATGCAACCTCTAATTCACTGAATAGGTAATAAAATGCATCGGTTATAACAGAGGATTTGGATGCAGGCTAACTACAGATAGATGCACACACAAAGTAGAGGGAAGTAGCATATAAAGACGTTGAGGGCCTTGTACTAGATGTTACTCTGTTGACGAAAGAGGCCCCTTTCGAGTTTTTGGCAGCAGTCAAAACCAAAAGACTAGAAACTCTTCGGTCAGAATGGCGACTTGGAATACTGAGTAGAAAAACTGTAAGAGTACATAAAGGTCCCAATAATAGCAATTTGGAGGGATGACAAAAACGATATAATAGTTTGCATATTCATAACAAGCAGCGACTAAAGACTATGTTGAAGACATTCAGCCCGGATGGTCGGCATTGACAAGCTTCAACAACAGAGCGGATGTCTCTTTACACCCACAAAAATATCGGCGAGGAAATGGAGACGCAGGTTTTATGCATATGATCGAAATTTTAACAGCCTGATGGTAGAGAGCATTAAAACGCCAAAGCAGTCTCACGAGAACATTTAATGAGGGCACTACGGACAACATAACACCTTATAAATGACGTGCGCATCATCAAAGTAGGAAGAAATCCGCTAGTGCAAAGATCGAAACGGACGTAGATACTTATCATGGTGCGTATCAAACTTCATGCAGGATTTTTTAAGATCATACTGAACCATGGTAGTTCGCCGGGACTGGAGACAGGCAGAAAAAGCATGAACTTTTACATGTTGCACCTTCCGGCCTCGTAATCTTAGGCACGCTAATTAGCATTAGGGTGATTACTGTGGTGAAATAATTAACGACAGTAAACGAGAACTGCGCGAAAAAAAAACGAGACAAGAAACCAAAAGTCCCACGTGGCGCAAATTATCATTTTCGAGGTGTCGGGGAGAAGGAGTGATTTAGCAAACTCATATGCTCAGGACACGAACGCGTCGGCTATGGAAGTATAGTAAACGAAGCAAACGCGAACCGTCAACATCATGAAGAGGACTTGAAGTACCAGATAACTAACTTAATAGGGCAAGCAAAAGGCAGGCAGGAAAGAAGAGCCAGGGAAGGAGCACTTAGAAACATTTAAAAAGGATTGGCTTACCTCGAAATAAAACGGGTAGGCTGACGGCCCTAACTTCTTAATCAGGCGTTCCTGCAAGCGTGTAAGAGGCTTTGGCTCTGGCTTAGATTCGAGATCTGTGTTTTCACCAGTGGTATCGCCATCGACACCGCCAGCTGATGATTTTTTGCTCGATGTATTACCGGAAGCGACGGCCAGAACGGGAATGGGGTTTACAGGCGTATTATCAACCTTTGTTGTTTGTGGGGGGTAGAGTTGAGCGGAGGCCAAGAACAAGTCCTTCCGAAATGAAAGACCGAGAACATCAAGGTCCTCTCTACCATATCGGAATGCAGCAAGGACGTGTACAAATACTCGTCTATTCTTTACATACGATTCGTCAATGAGGACAACTCCCTCTGAAAAATCAAGTTAAAAGATCAATAAGCATACCTATTGGGTCAACGTGTGTTAAATGGTCGATAAAATCCCGTTTTGACAAGTAAGCAGTCAACTAAAAACATTATAAACCCTAATTAAAACCATTGTGGTACCTTATTGTTGGGGCTGCTCTTCTTAAAGACCCTGAAAATTGAGTTAAAGATGTAAAAGCATGAATACCTGGTCCCTTGCCTTCTAGCGGATTCCTGACCTTGCTCCGACATTTAGGATGCCCAGTTTGCGTTGGGTGTTCGCATAACTCGCGTGTGATTGGACGGTTATTTTTTTCAAGCGTGCGCGGTAGATAGAATTGTTTGTCTCTCTAATTAAGTACGCTAAACGAAAGCACTTCGGTTAAAATTACTCAAGACTACAAAATCTTTTAATGGCCTTATTTCTACGACGAACAACAGGCATTAAAAAGTACACGCATTCTTTTCATCAGTAGTGCTATGAGATCGGAATGCCATTCACCGATCCACCTATGAAACACTATGCACATCCTATTTTTTGTCTTAATCAAGAACCCTGGGCATAGGTGGCATTATCACCAGTAATATTGTAAAATCGAACTCTATGCGGACATTGACAATGTAGCGGCAATTTCTGGCGCTTTGGGATCCGTATTCTAGGATAACCTGACGATGCTGCTGCAACTTTGGACCAAGATCTTGGTGGTACAAGATTCACTGATATGGGGAGGCCAAAACAGTACACTTTAAGATAGGTTTTCAGGGCCAAAACAAATAAAACGGTATTCAGCAGGAAAGAATACCATTAGTCATGTTGAGCATACTCAGGCAAGTAGAGGGGCCCCAAGGAGCCTGTTCTAGAAATCGTGGACCATACAGTAAGAAAAAGAATGCATACACAAGAGATCACATCAGTATATTTTTTGCATAAATAAAAATCCGTGACTGTTTACTGTTGACGAGATATTGTTGCCGTAGTGAAAGAACAGAAGAGGACCTAGCACAATACCCAGAACCGGAGCATTCACAAGACTACTTTGACTTAGATATGAGAATCGCCTTGAAATTTCGTTTCAAATCAGACCGGCGTCACTTAGCGAGCTCCAAAAATCGACTTTTAAATTTTAAATTTTAAATTATTACTAATAGTCGTCTGCGTGGAGCATTACTAGACACTTCGCTGAGGTTGAAATAAATGGATGGTATCCCTGCCAACACGTGGCCCCGCCTTGTGGGTGTGGCCAAACGTGGCTGGATGTGGCCATGGCCACGCCATATTGTAAGAAATTTCAAGAGTCGTTTCTGCCGCTTAGACGACGTCTTCTGTGTTGGAATGTTCCAAATTTACCGAAGTGTGCGTTTATTTATTCAGAAAGTGCTTTGAGTCATCACTTCTTGGGAGATGAAGGTTTGCCCGTATAAGCCGTTTAGGACACTTTTGTTTAAGTGGGCCACTTGGACGCCATTCATCTGCTACTCTACCGGACGCTCGCGACGAAGTGGTACGTTGTCCAACGTTTATCTCATGCCTATCGCGCCTTTATGATCTTTTTTACGTCATTACTATTCTATTTCATGTTATGTACGTAGGTTTATTAACTCTATAGGGATTTTAGTCTCACAGTGTACGTTTCAAGTGTAGTTAAACTTTCTCATATTGTTCTATACCCGTCAATGACAGTAATCATGAAACGCAAGTATTATGGCTTTCACCGAAGCACAATTTACAAGCGGATTGCGCGCGAGAAGAAGGCATATTATGCGCGGATGGGTGCTCCCTCCGTTCCCTCTACGTCGTCGGTGGTAGACCAACCACCGGATTTAGAAATGCCGGAACTAGTCCCAGAAGTTTGCACTGGTAGTGATGTTACCGTTTTATTTAACAGCAACTTTAGAACCCGTAGATATAAGTGGGCACGCGGTCGCAGACAAATGCTTTCTGGCGGATTTACGGGAATTCTGCCTGGAGGCCCAAATGCCACTATCCACAACCAAGAAGTTGTTTCGGATGCTGCGGCCCTACCACCCAGAAGTACCCAAAGACCCAAGGACGCTATTGCAAACGCCTCGAACCTGCATTAGCAAGCCACTGAACAAAGGGAACTATGTTCATTTAGGTCTTGAGCGTGGTCTGGTGGATCAACTTCACAGTCTGCCAGAGGCAACCGTTCCTGAAATACACATCCAACTGCATATCGACGGCATGAAGATATTTAAGGGGTCGAGTCAGGGCCTGTGGCCGATTCTGGCTCGTGTTCGCCATCCGGTTGTTGGTCAGCCCTTCATTGTTGGAGTGTTCTGCGGTCCCGGCAAACCCGATCCGTTGGACGACTTCTTGGGCGACTGTGTTGGCGAGCTGAAAGACCTCCTGGGCAGTGGTCTGCATAATCCACATACGCAAAATATCGTCAAGGTGAGCTTAGACAACGTCATCTGCGACACCCCTGCCCGATGTTTTGTGCGGCGAGTTAAAGCTCACAATGGCTATTACGGATGCGACAGGTATGTTGCGTCGTACTTTTAACTATAACCACCGCAGGTGTTCCCATATGGGCAAACGTATTGCAAACCGCATGACGTTTGCAGTATGCAGTGGGCGTCTGCGTGACGACAGGTCATTCAGGTTGCGAAAACAGGAACAGCACCACAAGGGCAGGTCTCCGTTCGAGGATTTACCCATAGATATGGTGGTCTCTTTCCCACTGGACTATATGCACCTGGTTTGTCTGGGCGTCATGCGGAAGTTACTGCATATTTGGCGTCTGGGCTCCAGCAGGCACTCTAACTCATTGAATGCGTCCATTGAGATGTGCAGCCAATGTTTGCCGGCCGAGTTTTCGCGTAAATGCAGAACACTCGATTGCCTGGAGTTCTGGAAGGCTGCCGAATATAGGCAATTTCTTCTGTACATAGGCCCCGTCGTTTTGTCCTCCTCTTTAAGCGAAGCCCGGTATCAACACTTTTTACAGTTTTCTCTCGCAGTGCACATATTCTGCCATCCCGTATTGCATATAACCTGGAGAGAATACGGCCGGCTTCTGCTAAATCGCTTTGTAGTTAATTTCCCCACCTTGTATAGCCCTTCGGATATTATTTACAATGTCCACTGCCTGCTTCACCTGTATGACGATGTGGCTCGGTTTGGAGTGCTGGATAATTTCTCGGCATTTCCTTTCGAGTCCTTTTTACAAAGTGTCCGCAGCAGTATAAAAGGGCCTACACACGTAGCCGCGCAGGTCTTCAAGCGCTTTTCTGAAAGACGCTTGCCTGAGGTACCGACATGCCCAATGCTGTTGGACGACGACGAGGGAGTGGCACGGGCATTTAAACTGCCTCGCGGATCCACTGCTGTTTTCCACGAAGACTTTATTCTGTCAACTAAGCAGCCCGATAATGTGGTACTTATTGGAAACAGACCGTGCATACTGACATCAGTTTCGCCCACGGGCATAACTTACCGCCCTTTCCTTGACTGTGAGGACCTTTTAAGGGCATCTATTCCCTCCTCCCCTTTTTACATGTTTAAAGCCTCCCGTTTATCAGACACTCCTTCAACTGCCGCCCTTTCAGACATCGTCTGTAAATATGTTCCCTTTGACATTGACGGTAGTTTTTTTCTGATTCCCTTACTTCACACTGTGCGTGCGCTCTGAATCTTGTTTACATTGTTTATGTGAACATATAAATTTCCCTGTAGATGTATTCCGTTGTGGAGTTCGTAAATGACAAGGCTGTGGCCGTGGTGGCTGCAGCCTGGTTTGATCAGAGAGATGCTATGAATGTGGTCGTTTGAGAGTATTTTTCGGAAAAGGTTGGATGGAGTGGACGTCTGCTGAAACTCCATATGCTTTTAATAATAGGAAGGAGAGCCAAATCCAAATGCACGCATCTTAAGCATATCATCACATACATTTCCAATTTGAGAAACCCGTTGTGACAGTCTTAAAGAAGCACTCGGATAAGTCTTCTACTCCTCATCTTACCAACAGGTCGTCTAAATGATTTCCATTAACCAATAAAAATAGCAGGACCATGTGCGCGACTACCGCGGGTCACTCCGATGACAAAAACGGTTAGGATAAACAAAGGCTGTCGAAAAAGTATCTGCATATTCAAAATCTAATAACACTCGCCTAATATACGGACCAGCGCAATAAATGCCACAACCAAATACGGGTTGCTAGGACATCTATCGAGCGCCAACTGATAGCAGAATCCATTACATGTCGCAAGAAGTTTTATGGGCGCATCCGCAGTTGGAAAAAATATAGGGACGAAATTGCCTGTTTAAAGGATAGCCTCGGAAACTTATTAGTTGAGGGGCCACAGAAAGTGCAATAACTGTCAGTTTCTTCAATCGGTTTTTATGGAGGAGTCCTCCAGAGACAATCAGGAGTTTTAAATGGGCCAAGATGGCCGGTTACTTCAAATGCGCCAAGATACTGCCGTTATAGAAAACGTCACATTTTCCATCGAAGAATTGAGACGAGACGTCATTCAATTAAGTCAGATAAGTTTGGTGGACCCGATGGAATTCTTTGGCTGATACTTTAGGAGCTGTCAAAGGCTCTTTCGACTCTCTTAAAGTCGTTTATGAGAACCGGGAGACTGCCATCGCAGAAGAAGACAGCCAACCTCGTTCTCTTATATAAGGGAGGTAGCAGGATGGCAGCAAGCATCCTCAGGCCTGTTAGGTGGATTTGCCTCCCATGCAGAAAGATGGACGTTTTATCAAAGAGTGTACACACAAATTTTGTGAAAAAATAAAATCTTGAAGGATTTTCAACATAGTTTCCGCAGAAGACATTTCTGCATACATGTCTGTGGCTCTGAACCAGGGCTCAGAAGAGGGTTTTGAGGTCGATGTGCTGTATATCGATTTCCGCAAAGCTTTCGATACTGTTCCTCACCAACGCCTTCTTCACAAATTGAGCGCCATCGGCATCCGGGGAGATCTTCTAAAGTGGATAAGGGCGTTTCTGGTTGGCCGTAAACACCGTGTCTGTATTGGAGATGATATGTCAGACTGGGTGAACGTGAATGGTGCTGTGCCTCAAGGCTCAGTTCTGGGACCATTGCTCTTCATCCTTCATGTTAACGACAGCCTTCACGAACTCCACTTCGACAAAATAATGTTTGCAGACGACGTTAACCTCTGGCAAGTCATTAAAGGACCGAATGACCAGAGATCCCTTTAAGATTTGGGCGTATCATACTCCAAGAGTCTTAATCTCTCGGAGCACTGTGCCTTGATAGTCTCAAAAGCCCGTAGAACGACCGGGTTTATCCTCCGAAATTTTAAAACTAGGGACATTAGAATGCGCCTTTTCAACATGTACGTTAGACCTGGTCTGGAATACTGTTCGTTTTCATTTAGCCTCATGCGTGCTACTGAGCGGAAGAAATTAGAATCCGTTCAACACTTTTTTACCAAGAGAATTTTAACCCCGGAACACCGACACTTGTCTTACCAAGAACGTCGCCGGCTTACAGGCCTCGATCCTTTATGGTTCCGTAGATTACAAAAGGGACTATTTTTGCTATTTAAACTCTTATATAATCACACATTTAACCCACTCACCTCTTTAAGACATCATATCCACCCACGACGAAACAGTCACCGTGAGGTCTTCTTATTTCTGCCTCTGGCACGTACTGTTAAATATCGTCGGTTCTTTTCTGTAAATGCAATTGCTATTTGGAATAGACTACCCATGAGTGTGAAAACTCTGCAAAATTATCCTTTATTTAAGAGAACTATTAATCGATTTTTGCATTCAGAAAAGCTCCCACAAATTTTGGGTGCTGAATCTACTGATCGACTGTACCGTAGCCATGGCGTTTGTGGTCTCTGAACACTATGGCCGGTCTCACCAGCTGTTCCTCAACGTCTCTACTTTGGCTATCCCCAGCTTCATGAAAGGAATTTGACGTCCGATAATCTCCGATACCGTGCAGCCTCCCCCATTCTTGACAGTTAATATTCTACCACCGCCAGCAGTTTTTTCTCCTGAGCCCTCCAAACCATAAAAACCACCATCAACCATATTTTTATCACTTAAGCTCAAAAGTTTTTTTTCACTGCAGGTCGGATTTATGTTTAATAGCTTCCCTTGACAATGCCTGTAAACTGGCATTAAAAAAATTTATTTATTTATTTATTTATCAGGTCCTATCTGTCCAATCGATATCAGAAAGTCATGGTCGGCAATAGCTACTCGACACCCCACTCGATCACGAGTGGTGTACTTCAAGGCACGGTTCTGGGTCCGCAATTCTTCCTTCCTTCCTTCAATGATATTTCGACTGAACTCGGAAATTTGCAAACTTTTACTTATGCCGATCACCTCAAGTGTGATTACTCATACTCAACGGACACCGCAAATGTTTTTGTTGAAAAAAGTAATGCCGATTTACTACGCTTAAGCACATGGGATTCGACATGGCAGATGGAGTTTACATCATCCAAGTGTAGTTTCATGTCTTTTGGTCCTGCAAAACTTCCTGGTTCCATAATTTTTCAGAATAACCCACTCTCAGAATGCCTCACCATAAAGGACCTAGGTCTAAGTTATACAAATAAGCTTGCTTTATCACCTCATGCAGATAGAATCTCTGCCACAGCCGCGCAGATATGTGGATTCATATCGCATAATATTTTCCTTCCGGAAATGAAGCTAAGACTTTGTCCAATGTTTGTTCCTCCAGTCTTCGAATACTGCTGTCCTTTTTTGGTTTAATGAACGCCTGTGACCGCTATAAGATCGAAAATGTTCAGATGGTTTTCACCCGGAAACTGTTCTCTCAAGCTTCGTCCGGTATTTCTTATACTCAGAGATGTCAGCTGGCGAACATTAAGTTTTTGTGGGTTAGAAGACTCGAAGCTGGCATTCACGTCCTTTTTCGCATCAATTCTAGCTCCAATCATCTGCTCATTGACACTCTCACTCCGAGAGATCGGTCTTATGCCACGCGCAACTCCTCCATGCTGATTCCGCCGCTGCATCTTTGCACTACATCTAAGCGCTCCCTCTTCTTTGCTTCCAAATATGCCTTCCTTTGGAATAATCTTCCGCCTGAAATTAGATACTCGCCTAAGTTACTGGTATTTAAGTCGAAATTACGCAAACATCTTACACCGAAAAGCATAAAGGCACTGTTAACGGTCTCATTCCCGAACACTCAGATTCTTGACTTCGAGAAGGGTCCTCCTGGGATTTAGTGGTAGATTAAGTGGTAACCCTCAATTATATCATTAGAAGCCCTGTTTTGAATTGGTTTCTAAGTCCACTGCTATCCTTCCTCCCCCACAGCGGCGATTTTCGCGGTTTTTGATGTCATCTCCCACATTCCGACCTCATGCGGTCTGACAACGCTCAGGGCGGAACCCTCAGTATTCCCCGTCTACTAGTAGTTTGGTCGTACCTCCCTTCCCCTTTCCTCGGCTGGGCTCGAAGTGTTCTGTGGCCGATCGCATCTGGATTCCTTTCGTCTGGCCTCTTTGACGCGAATAGTCTCATGCGGCGTATCAATCCGGCCCAGACGATCTCAATTTTGAATCCCGTATACAAAGCCACATGCAAGCCAGTCCTGTCTGACCCGCATACGTTCCCCCCAAGGCTGAGATTTATTGCTAACTGACGATGACCGACAATATTCCGTCATATACCGCCACCTACAGGCCAGTGCTGCTCGTTTTTTTCTGTCATTATTTTTATTGATGGTTTTTTCTCCCGTAAAATTAATCCAATTATTTTTAACTTTTTGTAAGGAGTTTTTTTTTCACCCCTCAATCATCATGTTTCTCAATCGACTACTAATTCAGAAACTATGAATTGCATTTTGTAAGGATTCGGCCTACCTCTTCTAAAACTCGCATGTAAATTTATGTTAACTTGCTTTGGTGGGACTCCGACGGGTCTTTAATAAAAAATTATTTATTTATTTATCTCCTACAATGAGACTTAATAATCAGAGCTACGCAGGTATTTTCGGGAAATTATAAAGTGATTATTCCACCCTGTCTTTGTCAACATGCGTGTTCAAAAAATCAATTAGTGCTTTGGGATACCATGCCGTATTAGCTATAACATGAGGGTAAACATATTGGACAACCTCCGTGACTGAGTCATAACCGAATAAAGTTATGACAAAGTGAGTTGAAGGTCAGCCAAGGCTCGTTAACAGTGACTTGACGTGCGCCTAAGTCAAAACTACGACTCACGACCAGGACATCTTTTAAATTAGTGATTTTTTATTGGAACAATCATGTCGATGCAATCCTTGAATGCTGTTTTGCGGACACCGTCGCGATAAATATGCAGAAGAATGGAGAAAACATTTGCAAAAGTCTCCTGGCATGACGTGGCGACATTAATTGATGTTTCAATGATAAGGATGTGCTTGCACATCGAGGCTGTCTGTGAGGGAAAAGCCGCAACAAATTCCGAGGGAAGAAGGACATTGCACGCTGTGTTCCTTTCCACAGCTTAGGGGCACAGATCGGGAAATAAACGGCAGAGGTGAGCGGTTACTTGTCTCAAACAGAAGAGCCCACCGGCCTGGTAAAAAATAGCAGACTCCGCGGTGCTCCTCAATATAGAAATCAGGCATCTAGTTCAAAACAACCGAACTCCATTAGCGCGGAAGATTGTGAAAGCAGTTCTAAAAAAATATTATTATTGTTTAAGTCGGGTGATCGTTCTTTTAGACTAAGGTAGTTATAACATTTTTTTATATTTTTGGGCAATTTTAAACATGTTGAAATAAACACAACAGACCAAAGAATTCTGAAGAGCATTTGGCGAGGATACGGCCTTTCGATAAATTCTCATCGGGCCAATACCTCTAAATGGGAGCTAGCTGCAAACTGAAACGTGTAAGCGATAAGAAGAATCGATTGATGCCAGTCCTTTCGTACAAACGGGGGTTTAAATAAGGAAGAGAGGGAGTAGGGAGGAGGGAGTGACAATGAGGATTAAGTATGGCCGTGTCACAAGGAGGACGAGGATGCAAAGATATGCATACTGTTAATCGATCTTGGCCCACGGTAGACGCGGAGCATGCAAGAGTTTCCTCTGCGCGCACAGGATCGGCCTCTGAAGATTGATGGCAGTCGCTTCTGTTGTTGTTAGTAAGCGCTGCCCCAGTCGCTTAGGATAGTTAGGTGGGACCTTTTGAGTCACGCGGAGGGCTTCTTTGGGATCAACACGGTGCCCAGAACTAACCATGTGTGAGGAGATGGAGCTGTGTATACACTTAAATCCAACTGTCCACAGCCATGCCAATAGGTGTTCTCGTAATCTTGTGGATATATTCCGACTAGTACGACCAATATATTCTGTCTCATAGAAGCAAGTAGAGGGCTAAATGCACATGGATTTGGTCTGGGCTGGTAGGCTCTCATTTCCTTTCTTGCACAAGACGGAGTTTATCGAAAGCAGTACTTTAACTTTAGCTGTCGGAAAGGTCTCGCGAGGTGTAATTGTATGGTCGACAATCAGAAGGTGCCTAAATCAGAAGTTAGGGAAGATAAATTGGTTGGACAGGCTTTACTAGAGTGGAGAGCGTGCAGAGGCTCTCCAAGCAGTCACAACAAGGTGTCGTTTGCCTGGAGTTGTTGTTGTAGGTGCCTCTGTTCAGCCTGTTAAAAGTCACGTCCGTAGGGCCGGCGTCCCGTGTATGTGTATATGTGTAGTCGTTGTTGTCACCTATTGATCTACTGTGTCTACCTGTACCCAATCAGCGAAGAAGTTGGGTTGATGGACTTCACGACCATAGGAGGGTAATGACAAGCGTCGTATGACACATGCAGCGAATCAATCAAGAGCGTGATATGGACGGAAATGGCAGTGACATAAATCAGCTATTAAGAGTACGAACAGCTACAGATCCTTTAAACGGCTTGGTCAATGTGTCTTCTCAGGAGTTAACTCGCCGCGCCCCCTTGAAAGAGAATTTTGGTGAACAGGGTACTCATCTCCCTCGTCGGTAGAATGAACTTTTCCGGTCGTTCAGCAAGATTCCTTAAAATAAATCTGTCAGGATACCTGTCCTTACAAAGCAGGTCTTGGGTTCATCTAAGTTTCCCATCAAAGCTAGCCGCTCTAAGAAAATTTCTAGCTCATAGCGTCAAAAAAGGACTATATTATGTTCCTATTGAAGGGATACAATGCTGTAGAAGTTCGTGCATTGCCTAGGCCATGTATCCTTCCGAAAGACGCCTTTTCGAATGCTGCCGTCAACACTTCTGCTTAAATGGACGTCTAAGGAATGCAGTGGGCCTTCCCTTCCCACCTCTAACTTCAATCTGATCGACGAAAGGGCCTGACTTATAGCATACAAGCGGATATATATGTTGGTTTTTCCAGTGTCAATTACAAAGATATCGTCAGCTTAAAGTCCGTAGTGCTTTAGCTTATTTATTTGGTCGTTTAACTGAATGTTCTTCAGCTTGTCCATGAAGACATCCGCTAGCAGAGGACCAAGAGGCGATCCAATAGCAACTCCGTCTATTTGCCTATATGTTTGGTTGTCAAAAAGGAACTGCATGCTATGTGTATTTTAGTAATAGTTACAGGAGTGTGTTCGTCGAAATACCTTTTACTTGATGGTTGATTGAGAGAAATTCACATATGTGCTCGACTGTCTCTGTGACCTGAACGTTTATGAAGGGTTAAGATACATCAAGTTAAAGCATCACCATACCGTTTAAGTTTAGGTCTTTAAGGTCTTCAATGAATTCGAAGGTATCCCGATAGATATGTGATGCTAGTTGATACTGTAGAGCCTTGAGCTTCTATGCTAGCCACTTCGTTATCGCATGAGAAGGAGAGTTGCGGATGTCTAAGATCGTACGGACTAGTAAGCCGTTCTTGTGAATCTTCGGTCGACCGTACAATCGAGGGATATGAGTGCCCAATGGACGGTGGTTTTCGAGTACGCGATCTTTTATGAAGCCTGCTGTGGGAAATTTGCTGAGGTCATCGGCCGATTGTGCATCGACTTCGTCCGCGGATGATGTTTTCTTTGTCAGCGTTCTTGAATTGCTTCTTGTCCGACAATAATAATTTTTTATTAAAGACCCTCGATGTCCGATCAGAACAAGTAAAAATAAATTTACGTTCGAATTTTAGACGAGGTAGGCCGAATCTTTACAAAATTCAATTCATAGTTTCTGAATTAGTAGTCCGTTGACAAAAATGACCAGCGAGAGGTGAAAAAACTCCACACAAAAATTTAAAAATGATTGGGTACATTTTACAGGAGAAAAACCCCTCGATAAAAAATAGTAACAGAAAAATGCGGGCAGGACTGGCCTGTAGGTGGCGGTATATAACGCATTATAATCGGCCATCGTCAGGGCAGAAATAAATGTCAGCCTTGAGAGATACGTATGCGGGTCAGGCAGGACTGGCTTGCATGTGGTATTGTATACGGAATTTAGAACTGACATAATCAGGGTAGGATTGATACGCCAGACGCGATCGGCCACAGAACACTTCGAGCCCAGCCGAGGAAAGGGGAAGGGAGGTACGACCAAACTACTAGTAGACGGGGAATACTGAGGGTTCCGCCCTGAGCGTTGTCAGACCGCATGAGGTCGGAATGTGGGAGATGACATCAAAAACCGCGAAAATCGCCGCTGTGGGGGAGGAAGGATAGCAGTGGACTTAGAAACCAATTCAAAACAGGGCTTCTAATGATATAATTGAGGGTTACCACTTAATCTACCACTAAATCCCAGGAGGACCCTTCTCGAAGTCAAGAATCTGAGTGTTCGGGAATGAGACCGTTAACAGTGCCTTTATGCTTTTCGGTGTAAGATGTTTGCGTAATTTCGACTTAAATACCAGTAACTTAGGCGAGTATCTAATTTCAGGCGGAAGATTATTCCAAAGGAAGGCATATTTGGAAGCAAAGAAGAGGGAGCGCTTAGATGTAGTGCAAAGATGCAGCGGCGGAATCAGCATGGAGGAGTTGCGCGTGGCATAAGACCGATCTCTCGGAGTGAGAGTGTCAATGAGCAGATGATTGGAGCTAGAATTGATGCGAAAAAGGACGTGAATGCCAGCTTCGAGTCTTCTAACCCACAAAAACTTAATGTTCGCCAGCTGACATCTCTGAGTATAAGAAATACCGGACGAAGCTTGAGAGAACAGTTTCCGGGTGAAAACCATCTGAACATTTTCGATCTTATAGCGGTCACAGGCGTTCATTAAACCAAAAAAGGACAGCAGTATTCGAAGACTGGAGGAACAAACATTGGACAAAGTCTTAGCTTCATTTCCGGAAGGAAAATATTATGCGATATGAATCCACATATCTGCGCGGCTGTGGCAGAGATTCTATCTGCATGAGGTGATAAAGCAAGCTTATTTGTATAACTTAGACCTAGGTCCTTTATGGTGAGGCATTCTGAGAGTGGGTTATTCTGAAAAATTATGGAACCAGGAAGTTTTGCAGGACCAAAAGACATGAAACTACACTTGGATGATGTAAACTCCATCTGCCATGTTGAACTCCATCTGCATTCGTCACGCAATCCGATCTATTAATTATAACTATGCCTGTTCCTTTATCCGGCCTGGTTGCCGAAATACCTCTGCCCTCTCTCGGTTGCCTTAAATTTATATGTGAGCTTTTGTCAGCAGTCTCCTGACCTTTTTGTGTTTTGTTCAGATATGAATAACTGAAATTCACTAGTGTTGGTTTCATGTGCTGGATACTATCTGTGGAAATGGTCTTTGGATCGCTCCATAGATCTTCCCGACCGCAGACGTTCAAGTATCGTTAGAGGGACGCTCAACGATCGTTTTCATAAATCTCACTCGTCACGTTGTGCCTTGCCGGCTCTCGCTCACATTCTGGAGTCCAATTGGTAGCCGCACAGCGGCGCATGATAAAGGCACCATTGTATTACCGGCAAAGACGAGGGAGACAGAAATGGCCATTTCTGGCTTATTAGCCGTCGTCAGCCGGTCATACAACCCCGAAGTGTGGAACACCTGAAGCGCGAACCCGTGACCATTTAATTTGAAGTCCAACGCATCTAACCACTGAGCCACGATTTTGTCGCCCTGTCGGCTGCCATAGGAAATATGCAATGCCAGAGAAGCGCTCACCGATCGTTTCTACGGAACTCAATCGTCCATTTGTGCTTTGCGGGCACTTTTCCGAGCCAAACCAGCAGCCGCACAGGAACACGAGAATACCTATTGGCATGGCTGTGGACAGCTGGATTTAAGTGTATACACAGCTTCATCTCCTCACACATGGTTAGTTCTGGGCACCGTGTTGATCCCAAAGAAGCCCTCCGCGTGACTCAAAAGGTCCCACCTAACTATCCTAAGCGACTGGGGCAGCGCTTACTAACAACAACAGAAGCGACTGCCATCAATCTTCAGAGGCCGATCCTGTGCGCGCAGAGGAAACTCTTGCATGCTCCGCGTCTACCGTGGGCCAAGATCGATTAACAGTATGCATATCTTTGCATCCTCGTCCTCCTTGTGACACGGCCATACTTAATCCTCATTGTCACTCCCTCCTCCCTACTCCCTCTCTTCCTTATTTAAACCCCCGTTTGTACGAAAGGACTGGCATCAATCGATTCTTCTTATCGCTTACACGTTTCAGTTTGCAGCTAGCTCCCATTTAGAGGTATTGGCCCGATGAGAATTTATCGAAAGGCCGTATCCTCGCCAAGTGCTCTTTTGAATTGACCCATTCGAATTTTCGCAACTTTAAAACTGTCCAAATATTTGAGGATACTTAACTGTACTTACCAGGGGGAGAGGTAAGTTGATCTCGGATGCCTTTTGTGCCAGGAGTGTCCACGATGGTCAAAGGACCCACCGGGTCAAATTCACGACAGATTAATAACTTTACCGCTTTGATTATTTTTTGATCTGCAAAGCCACAAATGGCCAAGGGTTGGGATTCAGCAGCTTTTTAGTCAGTCTTATATTACGTGGGATTATGTCATCCGGCAAAAAGATGCCGAATAGCCTTAATCCTCCCCCGTACACCTGTGAACAAAAGAAAAAGTCGCAGTTGCCGTCCTCTAGTTCTGGTTGAACATGCCTTTATCCAGAACTTTTCATTTCGGCAGTTATAGACCCATAATGCATTAATCCACTCATTATTTTTCCTTTGAGATAATCAGGATGCGGTTTTCAGAAATGTTTTCATCCCTGTAGATGCGTATACCTTGGTCAGCAACTACTCATGACAAGATCGTACTGTGACTATCGATGTTGTCTTAAGGGTGATGGTCACCCTAGTTACCATTACCGAATATTAGTGTCAGACACGGGAAGAGCGCAACTTGCTGCACCATTCTGTGAAATCCTTATGGTCGTTTTCCAAGTGCCCTAGCACGTGTCCGAGACCTGCCGACCTGTATCGACAAACAACTTTCATATCGGTAGCGTGCCCAAAATTTCAACCTTTTTAAAATGTGTCTTTTATACTGTGGACATGAAGACAAAAAATTAGTAGTCAAATTATATTAATCTAAATATCCGTATTCTTCTCATTTTAATGCTGGATACAACAGCGGTGGTCGTGAATGGCTACGTGCATTAGTAAAGAAGTTCTCCTTCTCCTTGATTGTGTAGCCTAATCTAGATATGCGGTATATGAGGCGAGTCCCTCGTCTTGAGATTGTTAAGCTCAGCCAGAGAAGGAGAGGCGACAGGTGTCGCAAAATCGAGCTTTCAGTAATACATGACGAGACTTACTCAGCAGTTTGTTAACTGTTAGAGGACGTATTTCAGTTTATTTAAGGGTAGCCTGGGCTTCCACCTTTGGACGCCCCGTTTAATACAAATAACGGAAATATATGAAACATTCTGAAAGGAAAACGTAAACAATTTCAAAAGAAATTTCGAAACTGTAGAGACAGACGGGCGGTTTCAAATGCGACCAACAGATTGCCGTGCACAGTGGTTAGTGCGTAATATGATACAGAGAAAGTAATGCGAAATTAATCGTGTTCAAGCGTCACGGTGGAGGTCGATAACTGTGTGCAGCTATTCAGAGACGACAGGAAAATTTCATAAACAAATGTTGCTGGAATATGTACAGCAGTATCGCAGCAGTAGTAGGCCGAAAAATGCAAGCGACATGGCGATATCGTTTGTGTTGCATCGTGGTGCGTAGTGCCATGTTAATCCAGCTTCCACTTAAAAGCCTCCACGGAAGTAGACATCACGATTTCCGCATGCAAGGCATGTCAAGCTTCAACCACTCCACTGCAGATGACGAACTTCTGCGTGTCCAGTCTGGTTGACGTTCATGCGTAGTTTATGTGGATTACCTCGCAGTTTCGCTGTGATTGCCAACCCGAAAGAGTCTCCGGGCAATAGACAACGGTCTTGACCGCGCATAATGCGGAATGCTTGCGTCAGGTCAACTCGCAGCCGTCTTTGACTCACGAGAGAGATTGATATTAGATAGTCTTGTTTTATGAGGCAGGGATTCCTGGCCTGGCGGTAGTTTGGCTGCGCGCCCATGACCTCTCTGACAGTGCTGGGGTCTACGCCATCTATGATCTCAAAGATTAAATTGTAAACTAAAGTTTCGGCTGCACCAATTTCAAGTGAATTTAGCAATACAGTCCTCATCGGAGGTGGAGATAGTCTGTTTGGCAGGGTAGTGGGCTTGCATTTCGGATTTGGCTATCTTTGGACAGTTCATCGATAGTCCAGATGAGATCGTGATCCAAGCACCCAAGTCCTTCTGGGCGTTAATTTCTTGCAATAGTATTTCTTTTAAATGGTTAACAACAAGGATCGAAGTTATGGTCCCGCCGTTTCATAAAACGTTGCACTTGTTCGCACAAAACGGCAACAACTAATAATTCGACCATCGCTCGTGTGGGTTTAGGTTTGTCTTTAAACACTTTTCGTACGCTCTATTTTGAATGAAGCTCCAAATTCTGATATCCTCAGCAACCATAGCGGCAATAAAATCCAGTTCATTGACGCAGTCTCTCACATATATAACGAACTGAAAAAGGTCAAGAACGAAGTCTCGAGGAATACCACCCTCGAGCCCAACCTCCGCCGACTGATGGTCACCAACAAAGACAATTCAATAGCAGCCTATTAGGAAACTTCAAAGTCACCTTAAGAGAGTGCCACTTACGCCTGTCCGGCTGAGTTTATGCAGGAGTTGCTCATGAGGTACACGGTTCATATAAACCACACGCACTTAATCTCATCAACCACTTGCTTTAGTACTGCCTTGGTCGCTCAAGACTTGCCTCTACGAACTTCGAGCTTGGCATCACAGAATGAATAACGCTACATCAAGAAACGTATTAGCCCTGGCTAAATTGCTATCCCAAAAATGTACGGCATACTTATTTGGGGCTGATAAACGTGTAGTTGTGTACAGAGACCTCATGTACACCTTTATATAGCGGCGTGATGTGTGTAGATCTTAATAGGCGTGAGAACAGCCCGCTTCGTGCGAGACTTGCAAAAGCATGGAGGGCAAATTGGCTAGTTCATTAGCAAGCTCCTCTCCCAATTTCACTAGTTTGTGCCCTAGACTAGAGAACTGTGACTTATTCGATGTAAACAGCAACTTACGAACATGTATTTTGTAAAAGATACAGTGCCAATCGTTAAACCTCCTCATAAGTCATGGTCGGAAGGAACAATTTCGCGTTTCCTTGTAAAGATGAGTCCCCCTTTTCTGTGACTGTCTCTAATTGTTGCTTCTTAACTTTCTTAGGAAGTAAGTGCGAACTTGAAGTCTACATGCCCAGACCAAAGTTTTTACGTATGAATAGTTGGGCCGAAGTCCATCAGCCACAGCAACTGTCCTTAATGCTGGGTTCAAGGGAGAAACAAGGACTTCGATCGAATGAACTCCTCGTTCTGGTGATCGTTTCTTCTTCTTCTAGACTGCTTCCTGGAACTTGACTTTTCGCTTTTGTCGGCAGTTTCAGTAATTTTGAATAGCGGTCTTTTTTTACTCCACTCTTACCAATCTATAGGTTATCGCTATTCCCCGTATGGTATTTTCCTTATTACGCGACCATATAATAACTTCGGACTCTCCACGGCACGTTCGGTAGGTCTCCTATAAAATTTTGCTGTGTTCTGAGGATAAATATTTTACCTAGGTTTCACTGAACTCTGTACAGATTTATAAGCACAGGGTTCCTATAGATGGGAGATTTTCTTCATAGCTTCCTCTGCTGTTCACTTCTGTTTTCGAATTCTGGCAGTAATTTCCGTGAAATCAAGCAAAGGTTTCGGAGTAGCGTGTGCAACAACTCACTCCACAATCTCCAATCGTCAGCTGTATTGCCGGAAAAAACTTGATTCCTTGCTAAAGCTATTTATTTTGGCCTTCTTTTGATCGATATTACAACGTTAAATATTTCTTCCAACTCATTTTGTTGGTTCGGGCACAGGAAAGAACGCATATCAATTCGTACGCGTTCGAAGTTTTTCACACAAAGCCCATGATGGCCTTTTTAATGTGCGGTAATTTTTTCATATTTGCAGTTAATATGGAATTGTATAAACTTAGAACTGTGCTCGAGTCAAGACACAAAACAATTTAAAAACGATTATTGCTGTTCTATGCAAATCCGTGAGGAAGAAGAGTAGATCACAAAGTGTTTTATAAGGCTGGTGGTAAGACCTCATACTTCAAATGTCGTTTGTCAAAAATAAGGCAATCATCCTTTCAAAACTACACATGATGTCAGCAGTCAGCATCTCTCCTCGTAGCGAGGTCTATGGTTGGTCTACTCGTTGACTGTTGAAAACTTTTCTGAGGTTCAGTCGCGTGCGTTCGTTTCTGACCTTGTGCGGACGATCGTATAGTTGAATTGCGCATGCAGACCCAAAGAAGTCCTTCGATCTCAGTGAGGCATCTTGGCCATGGGTAAACCGAAGTTCCTAGGGCATGCTTAACCATAAGTACTTGAAAGATAGGGGGAATCACTCAAACTCTTTCAACCAAACTTCCTACGATAAATCCTTAGGGACATCAACCATCTTCATCGCTGATCGTTTCATCTGCTCGTGGAGGTCAATTTATTTCTTATTTCACGGTGTCCATGCTGGCATTTTATAATGCAAATGGAGATAATTTTCGGTCGGCGCTTAAATGTAGGGCCACATGTCTTGATGCATTAACCTTGAGGTGCCACATGTCCGACCAAATGCTCAGTTTCTTCATTTTCGATTTCATTTTTTGCGTCGTCAGCACAGTAGACTTCAGCTTATATCTCATATCATCGGCGAGCGTGACGGCTTCGCAATTAAATTTCCTGGTGCAGTCCTTCGCATAGATTAGATAGACAGGTGAATTTGCTTTGAAATTACCAATTCAAGATTTTCAGCAAAAATGGGCTCCATTAACTGTGGACAGAAAAGAAGTCAATAATTTACTCAAAGTCAAAAAGTCTGATTCAAAAAGGGACGACCATTATAGAGAAAGCTCGAGTCTTAGCTTCTGTATTTCCATCTCTTCACACGTAAGATAACGCGCCAGGAATGGCAACGCAGAATGCTGGTATGCCGATGTACGACAAGAGATAATTCGAAAGCCACGGCGCATGGGGTAAGAAGACTTTGCAGAGCTTAGTTCAGAAAGTAGGGGTGCGTAACATCATCCAGAATTCGATCTACAAATTACTTGACCGTTCCGAAATATTGTTGTATGATAATATCGACTAAAAGGGCATGCGAAACACCGGCAGCAGGTGAGAGCATTCGAAGGACTCGATTTAAAATCAGTCCAGTTCAATTTATTCAGTTTATATGGCAAGGATAATAGGCAAAGCCTTTGAAAATTTTATTGATTACATATGTCAGGTCGTTAAAAATAACAGTACACGAACGATAAAAATATTCGTTATTAAAACAGTACCTGATTCATCCGAGTGGCACTGTACCAGAGAAAATATTTTCGGGACAGTGGGGTATTAGTTCAGATTCAGACTGCCGAGTGAAAACAGGGGACAGAAACAATCATCCAAGCGTTTCTTAAAGAGTTGCAGAGACGTAGCCTCCACGACTGACTGAGGGAGATCGTTCCATTTCTCCACTACCCTCTGCGTGAAAAACTCAGAACGAAGATTCAGCCTGGACATTGCTGTCCATAACTTTATCGAGTGACCACGAAGATTGGGTTAAAGGTGCCACTGAAACATGACCTCGAATTCAAGTTCATGCTCAAGGCCATGTATTATCTTTTAGATGAGGATAAGATCACCTCGTTGTTGCCTGTAACACAGAGGGACTAAATTAAGGCAATTCAGTCTGCCTGTGTAGGATTGGTTTTTTAGACCGTTTACCAGCTTTTTTGCACGCCGTTGTACCCGTTCGAGGCATGCTTGGACCTTTGCTAGTCATGGCCGCCATGCTTGTATGCCATATTCTAAGTGGGACCGAACAAAAGTGCCGTAAACTCTCCCAAAATGGTATTTTTCAGAGGTTACGAACGCCCTTTTGATTGCATCGAACACCCCCATGGCGTTTTTTGCAGCCTTGTGGCACTGCAATGTTGGTTGGTTGTTCTGTATCCAAACCCCAAGATCCTTCTGTGAAGACTCTGCAGGGAGCCTTATATCTATCAGGTGATATGTCCTCAGGCTCTCATTTGAATGAGAGTTGGTTGGACGCAGATGAAGGACGGCACACATCTCCACATTGAAATCTAGAAGCAATTTCTTCGACCACGCTTGCAGTCGGTGCAGGTTATCTTAAAGGGATCTCTGGTCATTCGGTCCTTTAATGACTTGCCAGAGCTTAACGTCGTCTGCAAACATTATTTTGTCGAAGTGGAGTTCCTGAAGGCTGTCGTTAACACAAAGGATTAAGAGCAATGGTCCCAGAACTGAGCCTTGAGGCACAGCACCATTCACGTTCACCCAGTCTGACATATCATCTCCAATACAGACACGTTGTTTACGGCCAACCAGAAACGCCCTTATCCACTTCAGAAGATCTCCGCGGATGCCGATGGCGCTCAATTTGTGAAGAAGGCGTTGGTGAGGAACAGTATCGAAAGCTTTGCGGAAATCGATATACAGCACATTGACCGCAAAACCCTCTTCTAGGGCCGTAGTCCAGATCTTCAGACAGGTTAGCAGTTTTGAGAGACATGAACGTCCTCTCTGGAAGCCATGTTGAAAATCCTGCAAGATGTTACTTTCTTCACAGAACTGCTGCATATCGCTCTTTGCTAGAGTTTCCATCGTTTTGCAAGGGAGGAAAGTTAAGCTAATAGGTCGAAAGCTGCTTGCTGTCATCCTGCTACCTCCTTTACGCAAGGGAACGAGGTTACCTGTCTTCCACTGTCATGGCAGCCTTCCTTTACTCATTGACAGCTCAAAGAGAGTCGAAAGAGGTTTTGACAGCTCCGTTGATTGCTTCTTATGTACTAATCCAGGAATTCCATCGGGTCCGGGAGACTTATCAGGTTTTATTTGACTAAGGACACCTCTTACTTCTTCGACGGAAAAAGCGACGGTTTCAATGACGGTAGTATCTTGGCGCATTTGAAGCTCCCGGCTGTCTCGGTCCATTTCACACTGCTGATTGTCTTCTGAGGGCTCCTCCGTAAAAACTGATTGAAAAACTGAGACAGTAATCGCACTTTCTGTGGCCCTTCAACTAATAAATTTCCGAGGCTATCCTTTAGACACGCAATTTCGTCCTATTTTTCCTCCTACTGCGGATGTACCCGTAAAACTTCTTGGGACATGTATCTGTACACCACACATTTTTTACGTTGCAAATAGGGTTCTCAAAGGCTTACGCCTATTTCCCTCAATAAAATGAACTGAACTGAACTGGATTCTGCTATCAGTCGGCGCTCGAAAGACGTTCTAGCAACCCGTATTTGTTTGCGGCACTTAGTGCGCTGATCCTTATATTCGGCGACTGACTTTGGATCTCGAAGTTTCAAATACTTTTTTACAGTCTCTGTTTCTTTTTCATGGTCTTTTTTGTCGTCGGATTGAGCAAAGCAGGAAAAATGGCAGGAGAACAATTAAGAATGAGAGAAGGAATGCAGGCTTGAAGTGTGTTGTAGGAACGTAAGCGACTAGTGTAATAAAGAAGCTTACGAACTTTAATGAAAACAAACTCAGTATGAAGGGATAATGGAAAGTTTAATGACAAAAAACGCCAAGGTACCTAAAAGAGGATACCTCTTTGGGAGAATGTGTAAGGATTCAGGACTAGGAGGGGGTAGCAGTCGGAGGAATAGTGGACCTAAAGCAGAGCCCTGTGGGACACAGCATCCAACCGTTATCTATTTCGGGGTAGAATTATAAACAACTACTCTCTCCGCTGTAGCTGATAGGAGGCCTTTGAGTCACTTGAACATTCTGTAAATGAAGTCGGAATGGTACTCTATCAAATGTTTTCTTGAAGTCGAATCTGCAGCGTCTATTGGACTGGTCCTGTTTGAGGCCCTATTCCATTCCTCATGTCACCAGAAAGTACTGATTAGACAAGCGCGTCCTCGACAAAAGAAATTCTGGACAACACACTCTAGCTTGTCTCCTTCCGGATAATGTATAAAGTGTACCGTGTAATATGTTGCATTGTTTGCAGGAGATATATGTCTAACTAACTGGCGGTAATTCTCGGGGTCCATCCGTGATCTGCTGCAAAGTGGTGGAGAAAATCATCAAAAAGGAGTTGATGACTTATCTGGAAAGTCACAATCTCTTGTCCAATGCACAATATGGTTTCCGTGGGGGAAGATCATGTGTAACGAACTTGTTATATACAATGCAAATTTGGACAAGAGCACTGGACGTAAAACACACCGTGCACGTGGCCTATATTGATTTCCGGAAGGCTTTCGACAGTGTCCCGCACCAACGTCTCCTGCACAAGTTGAGAATAATGGGCATCGGCGGCAAACTTGTCAAGTGGATCGAGAACTTCCTCGTCGGCCATTCCCAAATTGTCTGCATAGAAAGATAGCAATCAAGGCGCACATTCATAAAGAGTGGAGTCCCACAAGGCTCGGTGCTCGGACCAACCCTCTTTTTCTTGTTCATCAATGATTGTGTAGATGGGTTGGACTGTGATAATGCCATGAATGCTACCGATGAGACCAACTCCCAAGAAATTCTTTGTCGATTGGACGAATGGTCCCGTAGATGGCTCTGGTCCTTCAATTTAACCAAATGTACCATACTGCGCCTCGGAAATCAGACCCCTAGTACGCGGTAATACCATCTGAACGGAATACCACTTCGAGAAGCAGAAACGCAGAATGATCTCGGAGTTTGAGTTGCAGACAGCCTAAAGCCTTCTACACAATGCTGTAAGGCGGCCAAGGCCGCAACTTCAATGTTATATGCCATCAAGCGGGCATTTGCAGTTTTCGATTAAGACTGCTTCTCCAAAGTCTTCGGCTCGTTTGTAAGGCCGCATCTCGAATATGCAATTCAGGCCTGGAGACTGTGGACGCATCAGGATTACAATCTGCTCGAAAGGGTGCAGAGGCGAGCCACAAAATTAGTAAGAGGTCAAAGTGCACTGCCATACGAGATCCGCTTAACTAACCTTAATCTCTATCCTCTGAGTTATAGGCAGTTGCGCCTAGACTTGATACAAACTTTCCGTATCGTGCGTGGTTTGGACTGCGCCCTTCGGTGCGATGAATTTTTCCAACTCGCCACAACAACTAACCTCCGGGGACATCCCTTCAAGTTCCGTGTGCCCCAGGGTAGATTGAATGTGAGAAAATATTTCTTCTCCAACCGTGTCGAGGAACCGTGGAATAACCTGTCCGTGACGGTTGTCATGTCTCAATCTGTGGCGACATTTAAATGTCGGCTTGACAGACATATGCTGCAGCAACAGGCGGACTATGTCACTTTTTAGCCATGAGGTCAGTGACCTATGTGAATCGGTGTCTGCATACCCTTACTGCTGTACTTTATTCACATTCTGCTCATTTATCGATTTTTTATGTACAAATAGGGAATTCAAAGGCGTAAGCCTATTTCCATCAAATACACTGACTGACTGACCGACTGAGATCGGAGTGCTTACCGCACTCTTCCATTTTTCCGAAGTTCGTCCTCTTCTAAAGACTTCTGAAAGATTATTAACAAGTGTTTGCACAGCGCGCTAGCCAGTTTTTAAAGGTTGAGTTCATGTATTCAGTCAGAACTGGGCTACTGGGCGGAGTTCAGTCGAAGTAGTTTCGTTTTGACTAGGGCCGATAAAAAACACAATTCCCAGGTTAAGGAAGACAAAATAGAGATTTGATGGCTTTCTGGCGGAAAGGGGAACAAGAACTAGACCATTGGTCGAAAGCCGACTATAGGCAATTCGAAAGAATGTTTGCTTTAACTTGACCATCCGTCCCAAATGTTCTGCTTGAAGACATAAGGATGGTAATTAGGTCCCGGTTCCTCCCTGTAGAGCCATATAAGATTTTGGAGTGATTCGTGGAGTTTTGCAATATGCCCGTCTTTAATTTTCTTCGGAGCCTAGTAACCTCACTTTTATAAATATTCCGTTGATGCTTATTTATCCGTTGGCACTCTTAGTGCCACTTATCCTATAATATTTCCCAAGTGATTTCTTCCTAAAAAGGGGTCGGCAGTTCCGTTTTTATCCACTTCGATTGTCTTTCCTCTGGGAGGGCAGCTGCGGTCATCAATCCTCTGTAGTAACGAACTGAAAGTTCTTAACTTATCACTTATTGCACCATGCAGTGCAATTTCTCTCCAACCTATCAGGTGTATTTGGTGTGAAAGAATTAAGCACTCGGGATGCAGCGCAATTTAGTAGCTTGACCGTATTGGTGGTCCACCCTGTAGTTCAAACAACTCACCACTTCCGGGTAGAAATAGGGCCAGGACAACCTAACTGCTTTTCTTCCCTGATCAGCGTTCGGAAATTAGCGTTCTGACAGAGAAGTCTGTCCGATGCTCACTGGGAAAATTTGTGAGTAAAGTTATTTTATAGACCCTGCGCCGACCATGTCTGACAGTAATAGCAAGAGTATTAAAATCGCCAATGATAAGGATATATTTCTGCTCAATGGCTTTTGCGAAGTTCACGTAGTAGAGGCAGGCCTGGCTCCGACGCCTGGTTCGATGATTGTTATGCCACCGACAGCTTTATCGACCGGACGTATTTAGAAGAGATATTGAGGCTTGAAAGACCCATTTCTTTTGACGGATTATTTATTTTGATGATGGTGATTAGCTTACAGTTGAAATAGGCCATAATCCATCCTCTTCTGTTTGTTCTATCCCTTCTAAAGGGTTAATATCCCCGGAGTGATATTTCGGACTCCGAAATACCCGCAGAAAAATATATTTCTGTAAAGGTCGTGGTGACTGGCTCTAATTTATTAATTAAGTTTATTACTTCATCCAGTTTGTTGAATAGGCTTCTTCCAGCCTAAGCGGTCACTCCGGCCTGGGGAGGGGCATACGTTTCGCTTTTAGATATTTCATGAGAAGCAGATCCAGACAGTTAAACTTTTGCTCCTTTCGCACCCTGGTCAGAAACAAGATGTGCATGGGGACAAAAAGGCTAAGTCCAGTAAACATCGGTCACAGGCTGGTTCCGGGCCTCGTGCATGGGCTGAAGTCTGATAAACAAACGGTTATTAGAGTCGTCCGTGATCAAGACATAAGGGCGAGTAACAAATCTATTAGACGAGCATCAGCCTTAATATCACATCTTTATGGCCGCTAGATTGTCAGAACTTTGAGGTTTTGCAATCCCGACACGTTTATAGTTATCTAGATAACCTCGGTGTTACATGAGATCCTCTCTGTCTTTTCTGATGTCAGCAGTCTGTGTTTTACATACGCGGATAGTCTTCCTCGCCGGTGCCCCTTCCTACCTCTTCGAAACAAATGAAATTCGGTTAGAGCCTGTTCACAGTCATTCCCGTTCTCTGACAGTCAGGTTTCTGTCAAAGGGATGACATTCGGGGAGAGACCAAACATATTGACTTCCCGTATTTCAAATTAAAACAGTATGCTCAGCATGTTGGTATGCACACATTTGAGTTTCATATTGCTGGATTTCTTTGCTAAAGTGTAGTTTGATCTGCCATTTGATG